ATCCGTTCGAGCTGAATGTATCAAATCCGAGTATTTTGATGTCACAACCCGATCATCATCAATCGGGTTTTTGAAAGCAGGAAATTCTATGTCGTAAAATTCTTGATGTTCCATAATTTCAATTGCTGTCAAGAGGCGTAAATGTTTGTGATAGTCTTGTGTTCCATATAACGAGACGGATACTGCCCTGTATAAGCAGTTTCCATCGCCTTCCACGTACATTGGAGTAAAACAGTCCAGCATGATTGGATGAAACTTTTGCAATATATTCTTAGACACTGAACATTCTCTTATATGATTCTCAGATTGTGGTGCTTCTAAAGGTATAACTTGATGATTGTCTAACAAACATTGCAACGATTTGGTCAAGTAAGGGCGACCTGCTAACATCCGTAACGCCATGTCGTAATCGAACTTTTGATTCGGGCACAAGCACCTTGCACATAAAAAGTGCATGTATTTCTTGCTCCATACTTCCATGACTTTTGGTTGTTCTCCAAGACAGGAAGCATGTGTCCAGGTCTCACACATTTCACATTCAATGCACTCGTCAATGCATTCAATGGAACAGGTGGCACATGGGTATCTCAATGCACTAGACATAGCGTAGTAGGCTGTCTTTTGACGTTTGCGTTGAATATCTGAACCAGAAAATGGAACTCTTAGTTAAAAGTAATAAAGGTATATTTGATATCGATTAGTACAATTAAAAATTATCATTCCGACTCATTCATATATTATATACATTCAAGATCTTAGCGTTTTGCAACAAAGACACTTTTAAAATATGGACACCATTTCCTCATTCGAAGTAAACTTCAATAAATATATTAATCCTTATATAAAATACAAGTTATCTGAGCTAGCAAAAGTTGTACATACCGATAAAACCGTCGAACTGGCTTGGTATTCTATCCTTGGCACGTTGATGGAGAAAATATAAAAACTAGGAGTATTCCATTTACAAGAATCGTAAATAATCTGCTTTAAATTCCTGATGCTAATAGTTCGAATATTAATTCGAAATGGCACATAGGTCGCTTTTCTGTCGCAAAGAAATCTCCGGCCATGACGAACAGCCCAGCGCCAGTCCTGCTGCATTTCAACTTTGGAGGCTCGAAGCTGTGTTATCAGTAGATAAATCAGTAGGAGCACTTTGAACCGTCCTCGCTATAAAGGCTATAGCGACAATCGTTATCAACTCGTGGTCAACTCTCGCATTTTCCTATGCTGAAATTTTAAATTCAAGTATTTTGTCAAATATGTTAACGTTATTGATATATTAAAACATTTATGTATGGTTTTATATATTTACCGATATATATATATATATCACATATATATCATATTTAAATATATATCACAAATATTTCATATTTGATGAAATACAACGACATCCCCACTTTCATCATAACTTAAGGTCACGTACTTCAACCAGTTCCAATATAAAATGTTTAGCTACATAGTTACAATGCCTGCACAAGAATTTTGTGGAAACAATTTTTAGCATAATAGTAAATTTTGAGAGAAGTCATTTTAGAGGATCAGATTTGTATGTATGTAGGTAAACAAGAGGACGATGCTCAAATATATGGACACGAAACAATATGCAATCTATCACGGTAGATTACAGTGCCAGAACGGCAGTCTTTACGGCTGACAGGAACACGAACCAAAATAACAACATTATTTTTAATAATGACAGGTTTAGGTGGATATTCATGTTGTGCTACATAGTTGCAACACCTGCTCAAGAATGTTTGTGAAAACAATTTTTATTTGTTTCAATCTGAATCTATGACTACGTTATCTTATCGACAAGGAAAATTAAAGGCTAATAACATGTAAGAAAGTTTTGATTATCGATTTTTATCATCAGTTCATATTGATAAGAGATGATTTAGGAATTCATTGCTCAATTTACATCCGCTAGGTGGCGTAAAATGAAATTGTTATTTTCTATCATTCTATCCCCCTCAATTTTCCCATTTTACTTGGGAAATCGCTTGGAGGGACATAAAATGTCCTTCGCAAGATATCTACAAGTTCGTTCCGGTAGGTTTATGTAGGTTTTCCACTCCGTTCCGGCAATTTAGGGTCCGTTCCGGTAATTAAAGAAAATTAATTTTACCACCGTCCCCCCCAAGTTTGCCGATTTATTATAAAAATTGCAAGGAAGTATATGAAATGACATTTGCAAGACATCTAAACGTCCGTTCCGGTTCCTTAATTTTACCACCGTCCCCCCCAAGTTTGCCGATTTATTATAAAAATTGCAAGGAAGTATATGAAATGACATTTGCAAGACATCTAAACGTCCGTTCCGGTAGGTTTATGTTGGTTTTCCACTCCGTTCCGGCAAATTAGGGTCCGTTCCGGTAATACCACTGTACCCCCCCAAGTTTGCCGATTTAATATAAAAATTGCATGGAAGTATATGAAATGACATTTGCAAGACATCTAAAGGTCCGTTCCGGTAGGTTTATGTATGTTTTCCACCCCGTTCCGGTCCGTTCCGGTAATTTAGGGTCCGTTCCGGTAATTAAAGGAACCGCTTTTTTTCGGGTCTAGTATAGTTTAGTACCACAAGTACTGAAGTTCTTCCAGTGGGCGTAGCATAACGAATTTAGCACATGTTATTTCTAACCCCCACCTGACTACCACCTTCTGGTACGGGTACCGTATGCCATTCGAAAATTACGTCACTACGATGTTAGAATCACGTCATAGAGCTTGCCGAAATACCGGTACCGTCTACGATCGCCCAAAATGGCATCTGTCTCATATCGGAATCGTTGCGACAACAAAACAAGAGAAATAGCTTGCTCAATCGCCTGCGCGTTTTGGACGACCATCCGTATACTTCGGGAGGATCTTATTACGCCACCATGACGTTGTATTGCTGTATTGACGTAATTTTTTGGTGACCATACCATAATTTTTTGATGACCGATACCGGTACCACTTTTGTCGCCGATACCGATCGGATACAAGCTAAAAACGCCGATACCGGTACGCCGATATTCCGATACCGATACTATGTAATTTTACCTAATTAGGTGTGCTGTGTAGGGCAGACGGGTTAAAACAATGGTCTTTGAGCGTTGTTCATAGTACACAATATTTCTGATCGAATGAAGAGATATCGGGTCTCATGTAGTTTCTCACCTAACATACTTCTAGTGGGCGTAGCATGACAATTTTTTCACGTATCAATCCTAACCCCCACCTGACTACACCATTCAAAAATTACGTCATTACGACGTCACAGTGACGTAATAGAGCCCTTCAAACTATACGAACTGCCATCTAAGACGCGCAAACGAGCACCCGAAATCGAACAGTTAGTTCTCTCGTTTTCTCGTCGCAACGATTCCAATAGGAGAGAGATCGATACATCAGTCAGTTCTTTATCTATGACGTGATTGTGATGTCGTAGTGATTTAATTTTTGGATGGCGTAATCAGATGGGGGTTAGGATTGACATATCAAAAAATTGTTATGCTACGCCCACTAGAAGTACGTTAGGTACGAAACTACACAAGACCCGAAATATCTCACATAATATGAAATTGATGTTTTGTATCCAGATGCTTTAACTGACTAAGATACATTGTACAGTGACGCTAGTAATCTCGGTGTTCAATCAGAAAGCTCATAAGCCGGGATGTCCAATTTGAATTTAATGTTAATATCGCGACCTTCGAATATCGTTATTCGTGTTTCAAAGAATATTGAATATCATCCACACATTCTAGCGCCTACATTCAAATTAAAAGCATTTTACAAATATTTTATTTTGTGGTTAATCGTAATCGTCGACGCAATAAATCAAAACCAACATGAAAGAGTATCAATCAGCACCGACAAGAAGAAGGCCTACCTATAACCGTCGAGGATGTTTTTTTACTTTAATATTTTACAATTGCTATCATATATTTTGCGACAGTCTACTCTAGGCGGTCATGTCAATATATCTATAAAGAAATTGTGTAGTTAAACAAAATTAATACCTGCGTAGAGGGATAATTGTGTGGTGGAATTTAGTTTATTGATGTCGACGGACTATATGACACTTGCATTTGATGACAAACAACAGAATTTATAGCCCTGCAAAAAGTGCATGTGCCGTTAATAAGGACTCCAATTCCACTGTATGATTTAAAACTGGGCGCCTAGTTGCTTTTTGTTATGTGCTGTGTTGATATATTTTTTCAAAATTGTGTAGTTAAACAAAATTAGTACTTGCGTAAAGGGATAATTGTGTCGGAATTTAGTTTATCGATGTCGACGGACTAAATGACACTCGTGTTTGATGACAAACAGTCAGAATTTATAGTCGTGCCAGAAGTGCATGTGCCGTTAATTCATTCTCCTTTCACTGATCACAGGACTTCATTCCCATTTAGGATATATATATATCTTGACGTTCATAGATACAACAATGAAATTCCGTGATTTCAACAAACATCGATCCCGATATCGAGATTAGGAAAATGACTATTCCCAGTTGGAATAGTTTAAAAATAAATCAAAATTATTCTGCTAATGGTTTAGTAGTGTACACTAAAATTGTTCTGGGGGCCGAACGGAATGTGTCGTCGGGCCGCAGCCATAGACTGATATAGCTGAAATTTACTAGTCTATCAAACATCAATAATGCAATATAAACCATCACATGTGCGTTAGTTCTTTGATGCAAATACTGAAATATCCTACAGTAATTAATCCTCTAATCACACCAGTAATACCAAGTAAACTATTGTTATCTGATCCCATAACTTGTTAGTAGCATTCTCCAGTACCTTGCGACTGTCACCTTAAGTCCAGTGTTTCGGATTGATAATTTCGCAGTTTCGGATTGCAAACTTCAATATTACCGAAAATAAACTGATAACTTGTATTGTGTCTTTGTTCATTGGGGGATTTGTCATTGATGAATCACAATAAACATTTTACCAACTAGAAATTTAATAAAAATATTCTACATTTGGTTTCAGGAAATTTAGAGCTGAAATTGTCTGATATACAAATCTTGTAAATTTCAACACAATCATGCTGGAAATAACTGTGAAAACATTGGATTCCCAATCACGCAATTTTTCTGTTCCGGATGATATTACAGTTCAGTCATTTAAGCAACACATATCACAGACTGTGAATATTCCTGTGGAAAGGCAAAGGTTAATATATCAAGGAAGAGTTTTACAAGATGCTGTGCAATTAAATGCAAGTGGAGACATCAATGGAAAAGTTATTCATCTTGTTGAGCGTTTACCGACAGCACATGTTCAAACTCCAGCTGAGACCGCAAGGTCAGGCCCGAGGGTGCCTGGGCCTCCCCCAAGGGCTGCGACCCCACGTGTCCCAGGACTTGCAGGAAATATATTTGGTCCATTTCCTGTGCCAGCTCCTGGTCCTAATTTCAACTCAAATCAGTTCGTGCAGCAAATGCTGCAGCAAGCTCTCAGTGGTATGTCAAATCCGGTTGGGCCAACTGTCGTCAGAGGTTCGGTACGACATCCCCATATGTCGGAAGGTGATATGCGAACAGAAATTCAGATTCACATAGGTCCGCAAGGTGCACAAGGAAGTCAGAGCAACCAACCAAATGTGAACCAGGAACATAGACACCCGGTTCAGCCTGCCCAGCAAAGCACGGCACAGAGAAGAGTTCAACCTCAGCAAAATACTGCTCCACAAAGACCACAGGAAGTGTTGAGCGAGCCACGTCGTCAGCTGAATCATGTTGAATATTTACTGATTAAATTAGAAGAGCACATCGTATGCTTGGAAACTGGTAATTTTCCCGAAAGTCTTGGTGATAATACCAACACCAGCAATACAAATTTATCAGATTCAACGGGGACTCAGAACCAAGCATCAACAAGTGGCACAGGTTCTATTAATTCTGCAGCTGGTCAAGCAACTTCATCAGAGCCAAACAGTACTAGACACCCATCATTGCCAGATGTCGGTCATGTTTTGCGGCGTGTTACAGAGCTTGAGACTAGGTTTTTACCATTTTTAATAGAATATACAAACTTTCTTGAAATTGACCCGGCCTATTCAAGCACAGAAAGCGCAGAATACAAACGAATGATGGGGTTTGTAACGGCAGTATTGAAATCTCAAAGAGCATTGAGCGTCATACATAGAATTTTCTCTTTGTTGGTTATTCCATTGTCCGAAACTCCACCACGGTCAATGCTAATACAAGGAGAATGCTCGAGGCATAGAGCTCCTCAAGGACGAAGACTCCACAATGTTGCTACTGCTGGGCAATATTTGAATCAACCTCGGATGGGACAAGTTCATCAGGGTGGATCGATCAGAATGCCCATGTTTTTGGGACCATTTCGTGGAACTGCTCCAATGAATATGAGACCAGGGATGATCGGGATGGGGCCGATTCCCCAATCCATGCTCAGGTTTAATTCTCCACCACAGCATCCAATGCCCCAACAAGGTCATCAGTCTGGATTATATGGCCATCCAACTTCCCAGCAGACAAGTTTCGTTGGTCGACATCCAGTGCCTGTCCTTGAACAAACTCAGCCAGCTGCATCAGGCCCTGTTCAAGTGTCCAGGAGCACAACCTCATCTGAACCTGTCAGCGTGGCTGGAGGTACTACTGCACCCACTAACGACTCTGTTGTCAGTCAGAGCAGTGCTAGTTCTCATGGCTCTACTAGAGTTGACATTGCACCCACCGATTATGCTGTCCAAATTACAACTCATATTCAGCCTAACATAAACATTAATATAACACCAGAATCAACTATTGGAACCACGATCCAAGAAGGAGAAATCGATGGGATTGTTGAAACCTCTTTGGAAGAGGGTGGAGATGCTGGTGCTCATATTGATCCAGCACATTCAGATAGTACACAGGCATTTGGTTTTTCTTCGTCGATGCAAGCGGATGACCAAGGAAATATTTCAATACCCCAAGAAATGCAACTTCCTTCTATTCCTGGATTGTCTCAAGAAGCAATGCGCCAAATCATTCAGAGTGTTCAAGGATCTGTGCGGCAAGTCATGAATGTTGTAACGCAAAACAATGGTACAATGACCGGAGAAAACACATCACAGCAACATACTGAAAGAGTGTCAATACAGGGACTGCCTGGAGGAACTAACCAAATCCCGATTGAAATCGCTAATATCATTGGTCAAACTGTTCAGAACATAATGCTTAATCATCTCACTAACTCTGAACCAAATTTTCAGGAAGACCAAGCAACAACTGGAGCGTCAACAACTTCGTTGTCTAGCGGCACAACCTCTGTTAGCACAACTGCAAGTGCTACTATCACACCAACTTCTTCTAATACCACGCCATCAGTTCCAACTACTAGCAGCAATGCATCCTCTGAGCAGCCAGTTACTGAAAACAGATTGGCAGAACTTCTTGCAGAAATTCATAGAGGACATTTTGGAACCATCGCGAATCAAACGTCAACTAGTTCAGAGTCACAACCAGTTGGAGGTACAAGGGAGAGGGTTGTTGGTCAAGCTGGGAATACACATAGAAATTTGCCAAAAATTCAACGAACACCAAATTGTGTGAATGATATTGTACGGGGTCAAGGTTACATGAGTGAGATGTGCCTAACAGGTAATGAAAACATCATTGAACTTGTGTTGTTTTATTGCGGGGAATTGTTATCAATTCCAGACTGCATTGCTTTTATGGCTGGTGCTTCAGAACCTGGAAACCGACTCAGAGGTCCACTGAGACGGGTCCTTTCTGAACGCTGGTTTGAAGGATCTGTACCTAACAGGGATCAGATTGAAGCTGAAGTTGATCGTCACTCGGATGAATTAAGGCCTTTTATTGAAGAGTATTTTCACAATGAGCAGCCCAAGTTACAGGATGTCAGCGTTGTAGAATCTAACTTATCTCTTTATCGCCATGTTTTGCGAAGACTTCTGCATTTACTGTACATTCATGATTCTCAGAATTTTGCTCGTGACATTCACAATCATCTCATTAATAGTTTGGCACTTGCTTTACAACTCAACGTTCATATTTTGCGTGGAACTGAGGAAAGAGTGCAACAATTAGTCATGAGACAATTAGGAGCTGCTTTAGATCCGTTTTCAACTGGGGCAACAAATCAACCAAATCCAATGGTTGAACAAGTGCGAACTATGATGGGAAACCATCTCATACCATTTATCCGTAATCATTCTGTTAATCAAGATCAGATTGACCAGTTTGTTATGAACTTCCCAGCTGAACAAGAAGCCACACTGACAAATGAAGCAACTTGTAGTAATATAACAAATACTTCGAACATGGACGAAAAAGCAAACAAATCTGAAATAGCTCATGATAACCAAGGGACCTCTGAGTCACTCCTACCAATGCCCAGCGAAAAGCAAGAAGAAAGCGAACAACCAGAAAAAGACTCTGGAGATGCTGATGTGATGGAAATTTCAGAAGAATCGAGCACAGAAGATCTAGATGGAGCAAGGGATGATGTTGATTGGACAACTATGGTTCCGGAAGAATGGGTTTCTGTCATAACTGCTGATATCGAGAATCAAAAGAATGTTGTGGAACAGCCACCATACAGCGATGCCTATTCTGTTGGAATGCCTGCTAACAAAAGGAGAAAAGTATGAGCTGAAATATTTTCAAATCATTTACGGAAATAAAGAGAACTTTTATTTTTTCTTGTGGCTGATAAAACTGTGTGCTATGAACATTATAATAATTTGTGTTTGATAATTTCTAACATTACTGCTTAATTCAAATAATTCTTTTGAACTTTAGTTCATCCTCTGATTCTGGCATGATTGTATTGAAATGTAGGCTACTGTACAGTGGGGATGAATGCACATATTTAGTTTGAATTTTTCCATAAATGTCTGTTCTGGTCTTTCTCCATTTTGAGTGAATTGTCATTCATGTGCAAGAGCTGAAATTGGGTTAAGTTTTTCACATCCTCTTATTGATTCGGTTAATTGCAATTCTATATATTACAATACTTTTTTTCATTGTCAATAGTTGCCGTCCTCAATATTTTATTCGACTTCACTTAATAAAAAGAAACATCAGCATTGTCATCAGCAGGTCTATCAGCATTGGAAAAACCGATTGAAGCAAGATGAAAATTGTGCTTTTGATAATTTTATAATTATCATTAATGCGCCAATCCTTTTAGTGATAATAGATAAGGACAATATGTAGATTTTTGTCATATTTTCATGAATCGCTGATTCATAACATTCGTCAATTTATAACTTGTATTGTTTTTATTGGTTTCAGATAGAAAACCCTGCTTTTAATGTCTGTTCTTTGGCATTAACTAATAAAATAATCAGTTTATGCATATCTATTTTATAAGTTTGGAACAAATGATGTTTTTCATGATATAGGAAAAAAACTCTGATAACAGCTAAATTTATTTTCTGATTTCTTCTTTTTGTGAGATATTTTGTTTAAACATTAAAAATTCTGGGGAAGCATTTGTATAAATATTAATAGTAGTTTGATGCTTTTTGAGTCCTATTATGCCATGTTTACTTGACTTACAATTGCTTGATATTCTGTTTCAAAAACATGTAATGTAATCTTATTTCATTTGTCAGCATGCTTAGCTAATATTTGTGTGTCCTATACAAGTAGAAATTTTTTTGGAGTAGAAGAATGCAACATAGGTATGTAAATGGGAACTCCCGAAGTATGTGAACCAAGATGGCAGACACCGGAATGTAGTATGTGTACCAAGTTAGGATTAGGCCATAATTTCAGGTACAAATACAAGTGGAGTCACTCGGCTAGTCCCAAACCCGTAATGGAACTAAAATAAGGAAATTTGGAATAAAATTATGGCCTAACTTGGTACACATACTACGTTCTGGTTTCCGGTTAACATACTTTGGGAGTACCTGTAAATGTATATTAAAGAAACCTTTTCAAGTCTCAAGGCGACCAAAATTTTTATAAAAAATGTTCATGGCATCGATGCATATAGTAAAGTAAAATACACTAAATATAATACATTTGTGGAAATATAAAAATTTCGTACTATGTTATGTTCTGATGCTAAATTGAACGCCTGAATTAGCTTATTGCAAGGTTTGTGACATTTTCTGCATGGCTTTTCGATACCTAGACAGTTTTAAAAAAAATGAGGCGATGTACAACCAGAATTTATATGGAGTATATTTAACTTCAAACCCACATTTTATGCTAATAATTAGTTTTAACTTTTTAGGAATTGGAAAGTTGAGTTCTCTTCATAAAATTTGTAAAATCACAGAACATTGGAATATGTGAACCGACTTGAGAAGTACTTGCTGACAAGGGAAAAACTAACATGGCACATCAGAAGACCAAAGATACCATGCCATCGGATGTGCCAAAGATGCCATCGAATATGCATTGGGAAATAATGACTTCAAATAGTACGAGATCTGATTCAGGTTTTGATATTTTTTGGATGAATAGAACTCTTTATTATAAGGTAATGCGGGTGTATAAGGCTCTCTAAATATGAGTGTAAAGAAAAATATCACATGCTTTTGTTTCTCGCTGTACCTGACAAGCCATGTTTTTGCTGTCTCTACTCTTCGTTTATTTACATTTAGCTTCCAGTTGGGTTATCACATTTCATAATGCACTCCACATCTAATGACTGGACTTTCACGTCAGGTTATCAGTGGATCTCTCATGAATAGAGCAAAATAGTTTTGAAAAAGTTTCAAAATCGCTTTTCAAAAAAGCGTATGTTGAAGTGTTGGGGGGCATGGCACCTCCTGGCATGGCTATGTACAAGACCGCTATTTACTGAAGTGTTTTTTTGGTTTGGTATCAAAAATTAGTTGAAATTTTTGTTGTTATTATGTGGGAGAAATTTGGTACCGGTAGTTGGTCCTGCAAAAACCCAAACCATGTGTTTGTTATCAGTGGGATAAGTTTGTCTGATTTTTCATTAGTTTCGGGTTGTAAGAGTGAATTTCTTTCTAATTTTGTACATATTCCATTGCTTCATTTATTACATCTTCTTTGCAGTTTGTATGGCCTAAATAGTTTTAATACGCTAGGAACTTCACCAAAATGATTCTCACAATAACAACAGAATTACAAACCCCACGTATACATATATATATGTATGTCAGGAAAATTCAAGACCAAATAACATTTTCTCAAGTTACTCTGTCCAAACCATCGATATCCTGGCATTGTGTTTAGCTGGTAGCAAAAACTTGGAAAATGCCAGACATCCGTTATACACAAATTTAAACACATACATTGTGTTACATCTGTGGCAAGCTGCCAATTTTTTATTAATCCATTCAAAACGATCGTAGGCCTATTGTTTATTAGAATATTACCTTGCAAATTTCGGTACACCCTCCTTAACTTTTTGGTACACCCTGGGGGCTGGGGTGTACTATACACTCTGTTGATGAGCACTGCTTTTTAACAAGTAAATCACAGATTGACGAGGTCATTCCGAAATTTTTAAACTACTACCGTCACCCGAAAATAAGACCTAGCCTGAATTTTAAAAATAATTTTAATATAAGCCTACTCAATAACGTGATTTTTTTTTTGATCTACTCGATAGCAAGAAATCTTTCCTACACGTTTTAAATGATTGAATCTATGCTTTGCAGTTATTTTGAACAAAAATGTGTTATTTATATGTAAACAGATATCGGTTTTCATATTGTGTGTATTTGAAAATCTTGTATTTCTCTACTTTGTAATTTTGATAAATGTTTTTGATGAATGAAAATATAAGACATCCCCCGAAAATAAGGAAAATAAGCCCTAGCATTACCTCGTTTTCGCATTTTAAACCTCATTCGTTAGTTTTCAGTTGTGTTTCGGAAACTTAAATACAAATCAGATAATTCATTCAGAGCCATTATATAACGGATCTGGCTCTGATTCATTGATCAGGGTGGTTCACGTAACCGGCCCCTAGTGTTATTTTTTTCGGAAGAAAATTGAAATAAGACCCAGTCTTATTTTCGGGGAAACACTAAATCTGAATTTTTGTCTAGAAAAGAAGACTATCAGTCTCCAGACACATTTCAAGTATTAGTTTGTTTCATACCCTACTTGTAAGTGTCCATTAAAATTATTTTTTCCCTTTTTTTTAATAGATGATGGTGTTATTATTACTCCACATGGACTTGTCAACGGATCACATTGTGCTGCTATAATGATGTCTTTATACTTGTTGCATCAGCAGGATCTTCATTGTGATTTTTCGATCATTATTTTACCATCCTCGCACAATGGTTTGAAGGATCCTGTAACATATACTGTCCACAAGCTGATATTTTCAACTTTATCGACTCGCATCCAAGAATTGACTAAACCAATGATAAAAATTGGTGGCAAAGTGACATGCCAAGGAATTGAAAGTGTCATTGAATATGTGTATACTGGCAGAATTACAGACATCCAGATACTTCCTATTGAATTGGCTATTCAGATAAACAGAGCAGCTCTTGCATTGGGAATTCAACTTAAAAGTTATCTTCACAAACAGCGAAATGACATGGTTGAAACATCCACAAAGGTATACGTTGGGCAACTTCACGAATCGGGTAAAGATACAGTTATAGAAAAAGCTAAGCTTACAGTTTCAATGGTTTCCGATTCTGGCAAACTGCTTCCTATGGACGAATGTGATGCAGACACTGTAGTATTGCCAGAAGGTGATGCTAAACGAAAGAAAAGTTTTTCAAAACAGGCTGTAGAAATGCGCCGGAAGCGTCTTAGAGAAACTCCTCAACAAAAATCAATCAGACGAGAAAAAGACAGACTAAGAAAGCAGGAATTCCGAAAACGCCAGCGTGAACTTCCTGACATTTCATCGTAATGCTTAGTATCGCTCTATTGTTGCTTTAAACATACATGAAAAATATTCATATATATTGTACTTCTTCGAATATTTATGGATCCAAGTACGTAACTAGCTTAATTTACTTATACTCAAATCAGATCAATATCATTAAATTTATTAACAAAACAGTTTAAAATGAAAAATTATGTCACTCAAGTCTCATCGCGCCTAAGGAGAAAATAATTGGGACAGTTTTATAGCGGTACATATATATATATATCTGAAATTCCAGTCCTGTCTTGTGGGTGGTCTTGATTGAAGGCCAACTACATTATTTCTCTCTCTGACAGATACTTGACAAAAATAATAAAACAGTTTTCTTTTTGTTATTGATGAAGTTGTTATTTACGATGATATGCAACTTTCAGGAAAAATGTAAAAGCTCTCTAGAATATTTTTACCAAAGTTTACAGCCGCAAATGAATGCGTAAAATTGTTTTTCTCTAGTGTCTCTTATTTTCCTCTCGAGTACTGGTTACAGCACTTGTAATAAACCTTCCCTGGGTTTTGCATATTTGCCCGTCTTTTTGTCACCCTTGTTTGTGTTTTTTGTTGTAGTGTAGACGAAAGATTGAAATAAAATTGCATTGTATTTAGGACGTTTCACGATTTAACCAAAGTTTTGGTTGGGATGGGAATTTATGAAAAATATTATAAATTTCTGACGTGTATTGTGAGTTGTGACGTCGTGCAGATGAGGTCGTAAGTTTGGTGTTTTTGTGTATGAGACTACAGTTTGAATACCAATGCAGGTAAAATTATAAAAAAAACTGTTTTTTTGCGGCCCACTCTATAAGTTTGTAAGCAGACTTTTTATGTATTTACCATGTTATATTTCAATATATAGGCTTCTATTTCAATAAGTATCTTTCGTGATTTTGGTTTGATTATTCCTGCCATCCATCTACATCCAAATGCCGGATCTTATTATTACGTACGGTATGTGTCAAGTCTTGCACTCTGGTGGACATCGACGTCAGTTATTTTTTATTTTCTCGCATAACTGAGCGTTCTGTTCGACGAACTCGAAAGATATTGTGCGATCATTGAGGACAAACGCTGAGCGAAATTATAGGAAAGAATTTGGAGCCTAAATTTGCAAATTAATTTATTCTGATTGTTTTCTTACGTGTCTGCTTTGATCGTTTTTATTGCCAACGTAAAATAAAAGTCAACAATATCTTTGGTACTGGTCCTGGAACTCGTTGTCCCTTTATGTTCGTATTTTTATCTAATGTTTGGGTTAAATAAGATTTCGGAAATGTCGTCACTGCGTATCCGTCAATAATTCTGATGAAATTGACTTAATTGCATTGCTGCATATTGGTCACAAATCAGTATATATAGGATATTCGTCCAGAAATCTTTGTAATGTCACTTCATTAAATACTTGTATTGGTGTTTCAAATTTTACGAAACGACCCACATAACTTGATATTCCCGCGACATTGTCGCACATTATGCTCATTTAAACATTGAGACAGTATCATAGCTACTGAAAATGAATGAATAGAAACTCTATAACGCAAATATACCCTCCAATGTCGGCGTGATGTGTATGTTCTCGCGTGGTCGTCAGAAAACCGCAAGTGTCATGTCCACGCCCCGTGTTACCAGTTATTCGATAGTAAACTGCTACTCTAATATTCGACTTGATATTCGAATAATTTGCCAGTCCTACTCGTAACCAGAAAGCAATTTTTAAATTGATGGTTTTATCTTAATAAACTTGCCTTTTGTGTATTATGTAAATTACCTACACCGAAATCAGGACTTAGCTGGTATTAATGTTTAGTACAAACGTTTGCGGCCCGCAACGAATTTCGTCACATGAAAGTGGCCCACAAGACGAAAAGGTTGGGCAGGCTTGCTCTAGACCAGGGGTCGGCAACCCCTGGCACGCGTGCCAATTCTGGCACGCGAGAGGATTTCTCATGGCACGCCAAATGATTTGGGGCAGATCCAGACATTTATTTTAGTACTTCGACAAGCATTCTTAATTTAGACAAATAATACCAATTCGACAAATATTATTAGTTAATATTATAGGATTTATATTAAGAGCTTGGAAGCTCCCTTTTCCGGAGTCCTGGTGATAATATAAGATAATTATAAAGTCTATTCAATCAATTTTTACTGTACTAAAATAAATTTTACTCCGTGAGATTTTATATCAGACTTGGGGATTTTCCCAATATCTTTTTCGTTTATATTGTCGAAGCAACCGCAGGTTGAATTGAAGACAAGTAAATTATAATAAAGCAAAGCACTTCGAATGGATTAAATTATTAAAAGGATTGATAACTTTGCACAACGAAAAATCATTAATATCCGTCGAAAAAGTCGTTCCGCGTGGATTTCGAGGCGATAAATATGTATTTTTGATGTACTTATATACTTGTATATATGTATTCAATTTTACTCTACGATATTTTTATTACAGATTTTGAGATTTCTCCAGCGGCGATAACGAATTCGCAAGATCACAAAAAAGTATCGAAACTAAATATATACAATTAGGCATATTTATCTTATATTTTTATACGTCAACGGATTGAGAGGTATTTTAGACTAGTAATGTTTATATATTGAAGCAAGAAGACGCAACCGCGAGTTACGTTGAACAGTTGGATCTCCGCCATTGCTTGAGGCCCGCGTAATTTCAGTTTACCAACGGATAATAGGAGACATTACTAAAAATGCCAGTTCATTTCAAACGCTGCACGTTGCGTTGACATACTCGCGTGACTGATGTGTGGCTAAGAATAAATAAATGTTCACTAAAATCCCTAGGGATTATCCAGTTTATAGAGTATCGAGACCAAAGACGACTTATTGGAAAGAGTATTATGCTATGCGGAAGGTAGCGTTCTTAGAATTTTAATTTATTTTCGACTTAGAAAAAAATGGAAATTTCCTAACGATCAGCGCGTTTTTCGTTGTTACCATGGAAACGAAACCCATTTCCGGACTTTCTACGAAACGCATATTACTAGGGTGACAAGATAACCCACGTGAAAAGTTTCATTCAGATTGGTCCAGCCGTTAAGACGCTACATCAAAACAGACAGACAGACAGAATGACTGATAATAAGGGTCTCCTAGAAGCGGATATCCAATAGAAGGAAATTTTATAGATATTCTCTTAGCTGTCATGAATATTTTACTCGACATAAGAGTCGGTATAAGCTGAAAAGGTCAGTTTTTATACGAGCGCGAATCGCGGCGACTGTTTCAGAAAAGAATGGAAATTTCCGATTTTGCACCCCCCCCTCTCTTTTTGAAAATCCTGGCTGATCGAGTACCTCACGGAAGCCAAAATTTTCACCATTTCAGCGTGAGCTACATGTAGCTCTAACAATAATGATGGACTAAATTTTATCCTCTTTAGCTATTTTCGCGTTCACATTGTTTCTGGCTACAAAACTGAGTGGCCTTGATACCTATTACTTAAGTCGTGCAAAAGACAAGTCGAAGGTAGAGATGCGGTATGCCGAAATCTCTCGTGAGCTAATTTACATGACACGCGAAGGTCCTCATTATTTACAAAATGGCACGCTGAGTTCAAAAGGTTGCCGACCCCTGCTCTAGACCAGGGGTTCTCAAACTTTTGGCGTTGCGGAGCCCTTGAAAAGGTTGACTATTATTCACGGAGCCCCAAAATAAATGTTAAAATTGTTACTTTCCGATTAATATTCCTGAGTAAGTTAAACGTACTTTACTCAATTTAAATACGAAACCCTTTTAATAGGGTTAATACAAGTCATAAATAAATCTAAATTTCAAAGATAAATTGTATAATACTAAAGCTGTAAATTTGACACATGACAAACATATTAATAAATTAGGCGACGAATCTTTTCCCCTCTTGACATTTTTGGAAGACTTAAAAGGTCGCTAATAACGTGCGCGATTGCATTTTGTTACAATCGCCGATTGTTTTCGTCAGCATGGCGTGTTTTTAAACCACAAACATCTTTACGCCGGTGTTTATTCTCACTAAATCAAAAATTTCCTTCGGCATATACATGTATTGTTCCACAATGACGACGATAATTGCTTTTTCGTTCTCGTGGGGAATTACAAGTTCAATGTGAAAAACATGTTACCATATTATAATCATCGGCGACGAAATGCTAAAAATAATAGTTAATAAAGAGGTAAATCCGCAATTCAAATTTCTTGATTAAAAAGCGTCATTCTAAAATATTAGAACTAAAACTTAAAATGGAAGATAACACTATACGTTTTGTTTCAGCAGACTCACGCCAGAATAAAATTTTTCCACTCTAAAACTACCGACGGAGAACAAACCAAGTTTAACAAATCCCAAGATCGCAAAAATACGACTCCAATTTATTTATAGTTGGCAGTTTATGTTATTTTAGAATAGTATTCTTTCATTTTAGTAATCCTAATAGTAATCTGGAATCGAACGTGAGTAACGATGAGCACAATTAAATTATTACGACAAGACACGCTCACATCGGTCATGAATTGAATATTTTATGCAACAGAAATCTCGTTATCCGTCTTTTTTGAATCGCCAAGAATGTTGCGCATAAATTACCGATTCCAAATTTGAACCTCCTCCCTCTTAAGAATCCTGGCTGCGCTCCTGCTTATAAATAATGTCATTTTTTAAGTCCGCCACTTTGCCATATTTCGAGGCTATATTGTTGTTAAATTTTATCAAAGCTGTTATTGCTTCTAAGAACAGTTTTAAATTAGCCAAGTCAGTATTTTGAAAAGTAATCGAATAGCTCGCGGAGCCCCTGGGTTTCTCTCGCGGAGCCCTGGGGCTCCGTACGGGGCACTTTGAGAACCTATGCTCTAGACCAACCCGTGGGCTACGACGGTTTGCGAGTGGCCCGCGCGGTATTATTCGAAGCCCGATGTCTTTCACAAATCTGAGCCAGTATTGAAACCTCTAATTAATATTCCTTGTCGTTCAAACGCGCGAGAAGCACCACCAAGCCATCGAAAGCTTTTTAAGTCTCTTTGTGGGCGTTATTGCTAGAGAGAGATATTTGAATGTATTTCAATCTGTTTTTCTGTGAAGCTAGAAGAGACAGTGTTCATGACCCCAATATTTAACAGCACTTACTTGTACTAGCAAGTTTTTTTCAGGGATGAATCATGTCAAATCCCCCACGAGATCCCTAATTTCTGACAGTCCTAGGAAAAATTCGCTTCACATTGCTAAAAGGAAATGGGAATATCGGATAAAAGCAGTGCCATACTTCACATTGAAATATCTATGTGTGGTAAAAACTTCGACTTTATTGTATCTTCGTATTTTCATTGCTCTTGTAATTTTGATGTGGAGGTTTTGTTTGTTTTTCCATCAACGATTCCAGTCGGTGTAGTGAAAACTAGAATATAACTACCATGTCAAGTGGCCTGCGCAATCATTCGTAAACTACATGTGGCCCTTCGGCCATAAAGGTTGAACAACCCTGCTTTAGAGAGAAACTCAACTAAACTAGGTGATAAAAGCGAGGCAAAAATGTAATGCATGAATAATTTTAAAGACTCGATTCCAGTGGAACCATTTTCAATTCCTAAAATTCCCACACTTAGTGGGGGATTTCCAAGCGATGTCGGTCAAGAGAGCAATTTTTTTTTCTAAATTTTCTAGAATCAAATTTTACTTTTAAGTCCAAAATTGAATTGTCCCAGATTCTATAGCCCGTGGCCTACCTTGGTCTTCTGTTTGTTTCGAAAGATACCACAGTTCCTCTACCGAGTCAATTTTTTTCCTTAAGACTATGTATTACCTTGTTCTGTTTCTTTCGTTTGTCATCAATATTTTTCTGATGTTTTATAAGTTAGTATTTAATGTTCGACTTTTTTCCTCAGTATAATTTAATGTTAGACTTCCTCATAGGTGACGATGCTCGATAATCATTACTGGTTTATCGCGTCTCCCTTCAAACTGAAATGCATTTTTTTATCGTTCTTTATATGTTTGTACAATGTGTATTTTCAGCATGTGTAAAAAGAGACAGCATTACATGGTCCTGTTATTATCAACTGATTCCCATACCGCAACCAAGTTTGATTAGGTAATACCAACTGACCATTCAACGTATTGTTGATGTTACCGCTTTCTACGACTTCTGAGAAACCAACCTTGCCAAACGAAGCAACGCCAGGAATCCCAGTACACAACACGCCTCCACACCCCTAGAATGTAATCTGCTTGGTTACCACGTTTACCTATTTGTTATTCTAGATACATCCCAAACATTTGTCAGGTGGAAGAAATAGGTCGAGTACTTTGTATATCAACTGTTAAAATCGAACGCACCATTTTTCAAATAAAAATACTACACTGGGGGCAATATTATTGATGAATATTCGGACATCTTCGGGCTCTGTGCGGATTTTCGATGCCCCAATTACCAACAGCAATTTGTGCGAAATACACCGGCCTTCAGGCACCGTGCCGTGCAATAAACGTGCCAATGTTGTAGTGCCCTAGGATAGTCTATATCAATTTTATGATAATCCAGCGATGCTGAACTTTTAGATGCAAATTACAAAATCGGGAAATAGCAAGCCCAGCTACACGCTCTACCGTAGTTAGGGCTGGGAATGGTTAACCGATTTTAGATGGTTAACGGTTATGATTTATTTTAACCGTTAACTGACATCTCAGGTTCAAATCATCTTTATAATGTACAATTCTTTAAAAAATGGTTACGTCATCCGGTCATCGCAAATTTATCTTCCGTGGCGTTTAATTCAAAAGAATATTGCTAGCTGTATTGATGAGGACCTAATAAATGTGAAAAATAATTGAAGTACCAAGATTGCTGATTATGAAAATTTGACAATAATTAATATTGAATCAGTTTTCGGTCGAAACAGATTGTTCACGATTTTATTACAAAATCGTATATTCAATGTCAACAAACAAGTGCGTAGTTGATGCTGTTTTTCTTTATTTATCTCAAGGTAGAATTTGCACATCAAACACTAAAAATTTGTCACATGAATGACATTTAATAACGGAATCGGGTTTTAACAAAATACTTCCATATGTCCTACCCACGCTGCATATCTCCTGCAGCAGAGCGATCACGAAACTATCTCGATTCGTGAATAATTTTGAGCGATACCGGGATAAGGTCACGCGAAATTGTCTTGTAACCATTGTGACGTCACAAGCTAAAACTATAAATTATTATGTGAAACGTTACGCTGCGGTTAAAGTGTTTTCCCTGAAATTCCCAGCCCTAACCGTAGTATCTAGTTGTTTGACATCTGCAAGCTAAACAACAATTTCATGTTTTACTCCATTAAACACTTCACCAATATGCTTTTATAATTATTTATTGCACATGTTGAGGCATTTAGGGAATCAAATGCAAAAAATAAATTGCGTTTTTAGCGACAATCACTACAAATTATTTGTACTATTTGTCTGAGGCAAGTGTCAATTTTGTAACGAATCATATTCGTAGGAATTTACGAACACCGTGTCACCGGAATCTCTAAAGACAGAATGTTTAACTGAATTGAAAAAAATATATATACATCGTGACTTAACACGAATGATTAACAACTCGTGAAGGCGTGTTATATTGGATTCTCTCTGGGCTCAATCAGTATTTCATTCACTCCGACATGATCAGGTTGTGTTACTGCATATAAGACTGCTCTGCCAACATCATCCGGATTTAGTATTTCGCAGGATTCACTCCCGTCGTATGCATTCTTCGCCTAATAATAATATACCACAATTTATTAGTAATGTGCCAAATTAGGCAAATTATCGTCCACCATAACTATGAGCTAACATATTTTTTGACCTTATACATAAACATCATTCCTTCAGAACAAATTGTTTGAATGTCCTATGTAATGATATAGTTATATTATAACTGATAAATCCTTGCTAACCAACAACTCACTTCGTGGTCTTTAGTATGAGTTAATAACTCTGTTTTAACATCGCCTGGTTGTATACAAGTCACTCTGATGCCCTTTCCTTTTACTTCTTGTCGAAGACCTTGTGATAGACCTTCTACAAAAAACTTTGTTCCCGAGTAAACTGCTAGGCCGGCAAATCCCTACAAAATGAAAGAAAAATTGGCAGCTCCAAATTTACGATAAGTGCTACCTTTCAGGCTTTTCCTACCCTGGAAATGTTATGGAAAATGTATCGCAAAAAAATTGGAAAAGTAGGCATATTAGATTGACTTTAACTGAAAATGTACGCTAACATCATATTCATATACAATCAGTGGCGTAGCAAGACTCTCGTGGGCCCCCCGCAAAAATATTTCGTGGAAATGACCCAAAAAACTCTCGGACATAAGCTAAAACAACGCTTTTTTTATTTCGTCAAAAAGCATAACATGTCGCTATTAAAAAACCTACAATTTGCCGTTTATCTTGGTTACTTTAAGTTTTTTCATACGTGCTTCCTCTTCTGCCCTTTTTCTGCGTTTCTGTGCGCCACTGAGAGGTTTTGCTTTCGACATCATTCTGACAGCCTTCGTAATTTTGTCGGTGCGATGAAACCGCAACACGCCGAAAATCGACGACTCCCTGGCATTGTTACGTGACAAAACGATTTGAGCAGAACTAACATCAACGTTATAAGATGTGCATTAATGGTTTTGCAATGCAGCTTTTGGTTTTGCGGCTTAAATTTCTAAATTCTAACCGCTTGTGCCCCTTTGCGCTGTGGGCCTTCCCGCGACCGCGGGGGTGGATGCTACGCCACTGTATACAATACTTTACAACCCGTACCCTTCTTCCAGCATCAGAAGATGTATTGACAATATGTCCACTGCATTTCTTCAACATTCCCGGTAGAACGGCACCGATACCATTAGATACCCCTCTACAATTCACACTTATCATTTCATCCCAATCGTCCATCATTAGGTTATGCATATGAGTATAGTACATCAGGCCAGCATTATTTACGAGGATATCGACACTTCCCAGTTTATCTTCGATCGTTTTGACAACTTCTTTAAACTGAAATAGATTAAAACACATTTAAGAGTAACTATATTGAAATAGTTATGATATGGATGAAAATCAAGTGGGAAGCAAAGACAGGTGTTTAGTGCTTTAGAATAAAATTGGCTAAGAAGGATCAAATATATACTGTATATCTAAATTTATTCAATAGACTGGTTAAATTAAAGTATGAACATACAAACACGGCGAACTTCCGTGTTTAGAAACGTTGCAAACTTCTAATATTAGTACTAAAAAATGTAGAGCCTCTAAAAAGAGTCTAAAACAAACAGCTTGGTCGGATGGGATGCGAGCCCTTGACAACACAAGGGCTTTACATTTGCACAAATCTACTGACGTAATTAGAAATTGAGCTTATTTAGCCAAACTGAACAAATCAGTTATCACAAAACATACATCTTGGTCACGGTATTACCCACTTTAGGTTTAGGAAAGATTGAATGTAAACGTAGTTGGATTTAAATTTTACAGATCTGAGATAAACCATGAAAGTCGTGAACTGACAGCACGCCATTTGGCGGATTTTATCATCCAAAGTCGTTCCTATTATAGTTCTTATGCCCATCTCGATCGAAAATACTAATACATTGCACATTTTGCGTTGTATAGTTTTGTTTGTTTCTTGAGAATCTTGTACTTCTTGTGTCGGACTTGTAGAACCATTTAAATCAAACCTAACTATATAGTTCTCGATTTTTCCTATTGCAATGGAGAGCCAAATAAAAATATGTATTTTTTTTAAATAATAACGAGCAAGTACGATTTTACTCGCACAACTTCTCCAACTGGTTTTGCATTGAAAACTATGAATAAATAGATAAATATATATATATATAGACGAATGCCCTACCTGTTTCCTGTCGGTGACATCGAGAGAAAAACTTTCTGCTATTCCCCCATCGACGATAATTTCTCTTTTTATTTCCTCAAGTTTATCAACTCGTCTTGCAGCAATACAGACCTAGATGAAACGCATACTTAAATACCCCTTATAAGATATATTTTCTGAGTTAAATAAATCTTAAATATTTAAAACTTATATTTAGCCGCTTGAGCTCGAAAGCGTTGGCAACGCATTATGCAGATGCAGCCAAAACTATGCAATACACACACATAACCATTCGAGTGACGTATCATTACACGCTTTACAATATTAGTGAGTGACTGTTCTTTCGTCAATTGATTGGACACGTTATTAAGAAATGTTAAAGTGTCATTATTACTAATTACATAATTATTACTGCACAATAAGCTTTAAAATTGCAACGACAAGAGAGTAATGCTCAAATATATGAATATATGGACACGAAAGACAAAACGAAGTAGTACGGGTACAGAATCTTATAGTAGTCTACGCCTACGGGTAACGGTAAGTGCGAAATCCTTACTGATGGTGAGACATTTTGAATTTTTGTGACGTCATCACACAAAAATTCATAGCGAAAACGAATCCAATCAAGCCCATAGAAATTTTTGCAAATAAATAAAAGTAATGGACTTTTCCCCGAGCATCGACTTCCTTGTTTACTTCGTGACATTGGCCAATCAGCAAGATGCAAAAAGTGACGTAACAATGCCCCCTTTTCGCATCCGCTCAGACACTTTTCTCACTCAGACAGATTTTCAGGCGTGGTTGTAAACATTACCTCGTTTTCGCGTTTTTGAACTTTATTCGTTAGTTTTCAGTTGTGTTTCGGCAACTCAAATATAAATCAGATAATTCAATGATCACTCTGTCTTCCTAGAAGTTTAAATTTAATTGCAGTAATAAAAATTAGTGTAGAAATAGCTGTGATAGACTAGCCTGAAATTCTTTACCGGTACTTTTAAAAAACAGATTGTTGTATGCGATGAATCATAATGATGGTTTGAAACACATACCCCATTTTACAGGCGCCAACTCGCAAAAGCACTCCTAAAATAGCCCCGAAAATTTTGCTATGGTAAAGTATAGGAAGAATTTTCCGGGGATCAAAGGTCGGGGAAAGGTCCATAGCCTTCTAGCAATAACAACAATCTAACCACGGTAAATTTCAAAGCAATCGGTCCAGTTGATGAATAGGAAGGCGATTTTTGCACAACAACATGAAAAATAATACTAAAACCAACAACAACTTAATAACAAAACGATCTAAAGGTCCATTTTGTGTCCAATAATAGCCGCAACAATCCGTAACCGAGCATGTACGTGGCCTGCAACGAAATTGACAATCACCGTCACCGATCCATCAAGCGTGATCAAGTAAAATGTTTTAGCGATCACTTTCACTAAGCATATAAAGTACACGGAAAATAAAATAAGATCCCAAACACCGGCGCCTCTCGGCTGTGTGTATCAACATATGTCTAATTTCGACAGGGAAGTAAAATTGATACCACACCGCCAGTGCCTTTGTAAACAAACAAAAACTAGAAAATGTCATACAAATGTAAGTAACTCAACTGACTTACCTTCGCGCCAGCTTGCGCTAGAAATTTCGCAACGGCCTTCCCTATACCACTTGATGCCCCCGTAACCAGAGCTACTTTGTCATGTAAATCTGAAATTGAGACAGACATTTTGCAGATTTGAAATAAGCGAACATCCACGCCATGCAGCGTCGTCAGTCGTGCCAGTAAGCAATTTCTACGCTGTAACTACAATCACCAGAGCATGACGTGACAGGGTCGACCTGACCTATTTAATTACTGTTTTTCTGACCGACTATCGCAACATTTAGTTTATAATTCTAAATTTTCAAAACGTTTTGCAGCTTACACCGCGACAGACGATGTAGTATTAGGTCATAGCTCTTGAACAAATCCGTTCTGATATTCTCTTGTCATTATTTAGTTTGACACGTTGAGACTTACACTGCGCGAAATCATTTATAACTGTAGAGGATGATGCGGATTTTGTAAGATAAAAGTGTGTAAAACTGGAGGTACGATGCAGTATAGGTAAAAAAGGTTCGTCTCTCACCACACTAATGTCGTTTTCATGTTTATAGGAAGATGTTCTTGCCTGCTTATAACTGGCTACATGTTAAGCAAATAGGTAGGACATGAAATAAAGTTTTGAATATCGGAGAAAATTTCTGTCACAGGAAAGGAAAAAAATCAATCAATAGAATATACATACACAAACTGTTACTAATTTTGGGTTGTGCATTCAAAAAATGTTTTCGAAAAATTCGTGCGAAGATTATCTCAAATAAACTTACCTCGTCCGTGACGGGGTTTTGGTGTCGGTATGAGTTTTCGCCTCGATAAATTCTTCAAGTAATGATCAATCAGGTTTTGATTCAGAGTTGGGTATTCTTGATTCAGTAGCGTTTTCATAACTTTGTTGAAAACTGCGTTGTCGTACGTTGTAACAAACGAAAACAATGAGGTATCTCTGGAAATATTGCAAATCTTTTATGTTTTATCTACGCAAAACAGTATTCTTGAATTCTGCATGGGGATCATAAAAGGCTCAAAAAGCCGAGGTCATGAGTCGGCGCCAAAGAATTTTCAAATTGAGTGGGTAGTCGTAGTTGATTGTAAACTGTCTTACATGTCGGTGTTCAAATTGTCTTTAATCGGCAATCTTCTATTTGAAGGTTCGGAACTTCGCTCTTCTAGTATATATACCGGTATATGTAAAGCCCATATCTCAGTTTGTTTCATTTCAGAGATCATTAGACTGGCAGTAAAATCCTATACAATATAGTATTTCATTTGGAAGTTATTCCAGTTCAGCCCTTGTAGCTTTTGGCCCATGGGTTTTGACTCCACATTTTTACAATGACGAAAAGGATTTGTACATAATGTTGCTCTTGAACCAGATTTATCGATAATTATGTGTTTGTATGAATGGTATCTTACCTCGATTGAGTGATGGGACCTAGCATTGAACGGGGCGAAGGAGTCCCGGGAGCAAACAATTTTTCATCCATGCCATCAATCGCGTCACACCAATCATCAAATTTAACCATTTGCAACTCGTATCCAGCTGCACAAATCATGGAGAACAGGACGCTTGGAACAAACATATATATATATATATTATTTGAACGCGGAAATTAGTAACAAGATATTATATTATACTCCATTGAGACTTAAGGATGCAAGATTATATATCAAATATATGCCAAGCCATTATAAGCGATCCGAAAGCGCATTTATTGCATGCGTTATACTATAGAAAAGTTGCGCAAATGAACAAGAGAGCAGAAATAGGCGCATTAAATAAAACCAGCGAATGTCGAGTCACTTAAATGCTCTTATCAGGTCGGCTGGAGTTCATTTTCATGGAAGTTTTCAATAGGAAACAATCTTGCATCTAGAGTATGATTGTATAGGCTAGGCTCCAACAGTTTTATTTAGTGATTTTTATTCTTAGTTTCATTTCTGGCAATATTCAAATCGAGCATATTGATATTTATATATATAAAGATATCATTGAATGTACTATCTTACCTAGAATCAATAGCTTTGGGGTTAACCAGGTGAAATACTTTATGCATCGCAATTGAAAAATTTTGACTGAGCTGTACGACCGCATTGCTCAAAAAATCCACAGGAGTCATTTCAACACTCCAATTTATATCTGGCCACACTCCAGTTAATATACTCGCTCTTATAACGAGTAAATTGAAATCAGATGGATTCCATCCAGCATTTACGCGATCACCGGACGCGTTGCCTGAAAAATACAAATAGAACTCGTCAGTGAACTTCGATAGTGTTTCACATTCGATAAATATATATATAAAATTAAACGCTATAGGTCGAAGATGTATGCGTAGGTTTTACTTCGATTGCTCCTTTCAGTACGACTAAAGGAATGTAAACATCACCTCTAAAACTTCTATTCATATTTATATATATATATATAATATGTAACTCAGGGGAATTTTATTCATATTCATTGAATCCGATCAGTTAAGTCACTTCAGTCAAAAAGCATGTAAGTTTATCATCTACTATGTAGAAAAGTGAAAAAAAAATTGCTCCTAATGCTCACCTGGACGATATATTGTGGCCGGTAATCCGCTTTCGATTGCGTGCATTACGAGTTGTTCCGCGACCCATTTACTTTGAGAATATCCATCTTCTAGCTCAGATTTCACAAAGGCAGAAGAAGTTTCTTTGCAGCTTTTCTGTGTACATAAGTCCAATTATATATACATACAAATATACTGAAATTGTAGATATACGTAACAGTTTAGATACGCAAGCTCATGGTATATATATGTCGCCAGGCATTTATTTTCAATTTAATGCTTATTTGGTCTGTTCCCGGCACCGTCACCACCAAACAAGAACCAACGCTTGTATTATATCATATTCGCATTTGATGTTTTGTAATGTATCTAAATACCAATCAAAAAATACTGCATCTATAAAAATGTTTTATAAATTCATGCAACTTCACCTGGTGATTGGGAAACACAGAATTGGTGCTGATATAATGTAACGCTTTGATCTTCCCTGTCTTACAGAACATAAGAACATTTCTTGTTCCGTGCACATTAGCGCCTTTTAATGCTTCATATGGATACAATAAGTTGACAAATGCAGCTGCATGAATTACATAATCAATCTGAAAAATTAAAAATACGGCGATGTTTTTTAAATTAATGCCAGTTAGCTATTTCACTCCTCAATTTACACAAGTCAACACTATTATTTCTGAGTTTATCATCACACAATTCTTGTACATTTCTTGACCACTCGGATTTAATTGGAGATGATAAAGTAACATGCTGACATCTCTATAACTAGTGCTAATCATAAGTGAATTATCATACAGAATTGAATTATACCTATTTTAGAAATGAATCAATATTCGAGTGCAAAGTTAAATGCTGACTAAAACAATTTCAGCCTCCTTCGAAAAAATGGAACCTACGCTAATACTCGACAGTTACAGTACAAAACCTGAAAATGCGCTTCAAATATTTGTACAAAACGCACTTGAAAAAAAATTTTAACCCAACGTTTCTCAAGTCATCTCCATTTTGTACTCTCTGTCACAGGAGGTGGATATGCCGTAAATCAAATAATAAGAGAATTGAAAAAGGGAAAGTACACTTGTGAATAAGTTTCAAATTTAATATTGAATAATTTTTTTTTCTGCTTTAAAACATTCGTGATTACAATACTACACTCACTTCAAACGAGAGATAAGCATAATCTTCTTCTCCCATCCCAAGATCCAGCAGAGCTACGTCGCCGGAAATTGCGTGTACGCGTGCATCAAAATCCTATTCGAATCAAAATATATTGGGAGGGTATCAGCACTGATAAAATTTGATAGGAAAAATTTCAAAATACACATGTTGTGTTATTTATGAGGTTGAGGCTAACCTGCTTGAGTTTGGCAGATTCGTTGTTGAAAAACTCATAAAACTTGAAAGTATTTCGTAATCTCTCGGCATTGTCTTCTTCTCTACCTTTTCTCACCAAGCAATAGATTTGGGCCTGATGTGAAATTACTAATTTTATTAACTGGCAATATTTAAAAAATATATAGTTATATATAACCAACGATATGCATGGAAAGTGATTTCATGGTATAACTTTTCACGGTATATGAAAACAACCAATTATTATATATCGCTAATTCAATTATATCCATCGCAGGTATACACGTGGGCCCTCGTAAAATGCTTGATTATGTCGTATGCGGACGGAAAGATACAGATACAATAACTCTATGACGACACAATGACTACAAATGGTTCGTCTTGATTTAGTATGGGAGCGACTGCATACCCATTTGTTAAATTTTCTCTTCATTACAGGAATCACCACATTCGATTAAGCAATATTATTTTAAACTAAGAGCTACTGCTATTAATATTTGCTATTACTCGGCCTAATACTATTAGCGCGTAATTTATCGTTTTGAAAGTCAGCGAAGCTGACTAAGTATAGTCCTGTCATCATCAAGCGCTGCAACAGGAATACAATTCCTGACAAAACCAATAACGAATGTCTGAGAACCAATGACATTCTTCTATAATGATGATAAAATATTGCCCTCGTTAACTTGCAGGTTCCAGGTAAAAATGCCGAAAGATCTGAATAGTGTATCACGCCAATGGTTTGACCGGTACAATGTCATGTCCTCTACAATCCTTAGCTATGGCGGCCATACATTTGAACCCATGTGTATATCCGCGGGTTCAATCTATATGCGGGTGCTCAAACCCATGGGTTAGGGATAGTATGGGTTCAAATATCCGCCAAACAAAAAAAAATTCCATAGGTGCAATAGTATGCAGGTGCAATTGTCGTGGGTTCAAATGTACGGGAACCCTTAGCCATATGACCCGGTTGTATTGTTAGATAGTTGGAAACTCGCAGATTAGGCGACTTTTCATTTACCCGATGACAAAAAATAATAATAAAAACTTCCTCATGATGAAACGATGTGTGCTTCCGTCAATGTTTTGGGTCAGCCGTTATGATCGAATGTTATCGATGTTGACTGTCTTCACTATCACCCTCGTTTTCGCGATTTAGCCATATGTACTACAATATGCGCTGTATGTATCTAATGAAAGTTCATTTAGTAATTCAGCTCATTTTATCTTGCCTCAAATTCGGAGTTGAAATGGAAAGGCAAAATCAAAATGCTTTGAATACGAATTAACTGATGTTTTTTTTTTACCTTTGTGTTAATCAGCAAATCTTTCAACAAGTACGCGCCCAAAAATCCAGTTGCACCGGTGAGCAGTACCCGTCCTCTTTTCCACCGATGGCTGTAGTTTGCGGATCTCCAAAAAGCTCGTAATTGGATGTCTAGATTTGCGCTTGGAATCATGTTTAACTTGACTTCATTTGATAAATCAATATTTTTGGGCTGAATACTGTAGAAAATAAAAAAAATGTCATTGTGCTTTGCAGATATAAATCGATGGATCAATGGTGACGTAATACGTGTATTGGATTGCAAGTTAAAGATCTCGGGTATGATCCCCATGCCCACCAACTTGCTCACGGTGTAATAAGTTGGTAATGCTACATGTTGAACCAGCAGTAACATATAGTAGCTCCCGACACATCATTTACGCATCCAATGGGTCGAAGTTATTTCTTTTTCTGACTCCTCCAGTGGAAAACTTGGACCGTTGGCAAGATCTGTTTAGCTTTCATTTTGATTTTTCAATCCGAATCTCGTCTTAGAACGATATAAATTATTTCTCTTCTTTTGAACGAAAAATCTATAACGCAGTTTAGGAATATGCATCATACCCGACATCGTTGCCAGTATTTTTAGAATCAATAACTCTTGACAATTCTGCCACAGTTGGATGCGAGAAAAGAGTTTGTACATCAATGTCCACATCGTATAGTTCACGTATTTTTCCAAGTAGTCGAGCAGCAAGTAGAGAATGACTGCAGTGAAAAAATAGAAAGAAATATATAAATCCGCTTCATATAAACAAAGAAGAAAATGTTTACTCAGCACAAGGCAAATGGCAACATAAGCACCAATACTTATGTGCAAAACGCTGGGTTATCTTTCGGTAACAATTTCCGAATACAAAAGTTGTGGCCATCTGTGATGATGCAGGCGGCATGGTGAGAATAATATATGGTGCAACACTATTATATGACAAATTCATTATGTTTATTTCTGCAACAGGCTAACTTCAATTCAGATAAATATATTATATAGCTAATTTCATTATTTAACTGTAGATATATATGAGATTGCCAAATGTAGTTTCGATTCCTCTATTTCTGATTATTAATATTAAATTGCATTATATATAGTTCCTTTCATCATGAGTTTGTTTAGCACTCATTAGTACAATCTTGAAATAAATTGATGTCTAGAGCAGGGTCGTCCAACCTTTTTGGCCGAAGGGCCACATGAAGTTTAATAATAATTGCGCGGGTCACTTAACATGGCATTATGTTCTAGTTTTGCTACATTGACTACAGGTTAATGAAAAAAACAAACAATACCCGCACACCAGACTTTCACAATTAATATACCAATAAAACTGTTGTTTCCCAATCATTGATGGGGCCTCATCAGTAGTTATTTCCGAAAGTTTCGCCAAAGACAAGCCATGACGCTTTATCTTTTCCATCATAGCTCCCAACAGACCAATGCCTGTAGCCGTAAAATTAATAGGGACAATGGCTGCGAGCTCCGGGGTAATTTCAAAATCATTATTGACTCCCCGCAAGAAGATTGCCAACTGAGCAGTAACCTTGATGTCAGTGCTTTTGTCGATTGCCAAGGAATACGACGAAAATACCCCGCCTTTGCAATTAAAGTTTCTGCTATAGAGTTCTCAAGCTCTTCGACATGACGAGTTATGGCCTGTCTTCACAGGGTATTTTTGCAAACACCTCTTTTATTTCCGGACGTAAAACATTGGCAACCCGAACAATACATAATATACATTTCCTAACGAATTCTCAATCTGAGAATGGCTTTGACAGTTTTGTGATAACGTCATATAGAGTAGTAAAAAACCAAGTATGTAAGCGTCTATGGCACCTTTATTAATCGATATCTCCTCCCAGTTGGTTTCGATTCAAAATTGCACTAATGGCTCATTTGAAAGGGCTGGCAGAGCGCATTTAGGGAAAACAAACAAATCGTTTGTATCACTTCTTTGTATACTACATCACTCGAATAATAGTTTACCCCAATTTTTTTTTATTCAATTCTGAAACAAACAGCGCGGCCACTCGAAATGCTTCCGTGGGCCATATATGACACGTGGGCCACGGGTTGGACGACCCTGGTCTAGAGCTCTCGCACCAACTTGGACTTTGTCCATAATAAAGTGGAATTTCGAATTTGATGGCATCAAAGCCATTCGATTAATTGGCCGTTTCCAATTTAATAACGTTTAATATACCAATATTCAAATTAATTCAATTATTAAAGAGAAATGAGTCATTTGAAATGGTTGATTGGGTGTATACAAAGGTTGGTTACTGTGGGAAACAAATGCGGGCGACACTACAGTCGTGAGATTACATAATAAAGATACGGGCACGTGGCGGTACCTTCGCCAAGCGTTCAAATCTAAACTAAAAGCGCAAAAATTGAAGTGGCGTTTTGATATCGAATCACGGTTCATCAGAAACGCCGTCATATATCAGAGGACAATTTCACGCATCAGGTTTCGAGCACACGTGGCACTTTGGTAAATTAAACTATATTATAGAATATAGAATCATATTGTTCAAATATCACTATAAGAATCGATAAATATTTACTTTACACAAAACGTCAACCTCGCCTATCATTTTGAAAAGTCGGCTTATTCACAACAAGTGACTTTTTGCTTATTTTATAGTAATTACAGTAAAGTCTGCTTTATTTCCTAATACCTGAATACAAAATGAATAGTTAATATGGCTCTGTTATATTCTCATTTAACACCAAGCAGTTTCAGCGTAAGAGTTGTCGAAGACAAAAAAGATAGATTCCCTATTCTGTACAATGCACCACAGTTCACACCATGATGTCAAAATTAGAAGCCCAATTTTACTCACCCTCCAAGATCAAAAAAGCTTTCTTCAATATCCGTGACGCGAAACTGTAAAATGTCGCTCCAAATTTGTGCCAGTGATTTCTCTGTTTCCGTTTTAGGCAGATCACTTTCGTCGTCGTCTCCTACTATTGCTTTTTCGCAACTTTCTGGTGTTGAAGTATTGTCGAAAACGGACGGTAGAGCTTTCTTATTTAGCTTACCAGTTGCCGCTAACATTGGAATTCTGATAAAAGAATCGTATGTACTGTATATCAAATGAGGTTCTTAATTATATGGTATATATACATAGTCTAATACAGTGGTTTTGAACCAGGGTGCCGCGGCACATTAGTGTGCCGGGGAAAGATTTTGGTGTGCCGCGAAGAGATTTCATTTTTGAAATTATTCCAAGCGATTCTAATTTCCAATCCCTTGAATTCCCGAATTCGCTCTTTAATAGCAGTCTTTAACATAATATGTCGCCCATATGAACGCATAGTTCTCCCAGGAATATAAAACCAAACGTTGCGTAAGAAGTAGTCCTTGTAAAAAAAGAGAGGACGGGCGGAAATAGCTCACCAACATTAGAATGCCAATAGCATTCTGGATGCACATTGTATTTGTATTAAAAAAATCCGATATTCGACAATTCGTTAAAAATATTCGAATTATTCGATTCGATAAAAATATTCTATTTTGCCCATCCTTGCGATCTGTAATCATGCCAGTAATCAAGCGAAACGCGTGGTAGCACAAACACTGATGCAATGAAACTGAATAATAAAACCTTCATTAAATTTAGTAAATAGCACTACTTCACGAAAGCGTGGTGGAATTGACGATTATTTAATATCTCGAACACAGAAACGGTTATTTTTCGGATAGTTTCTGCGGTCTGAAAAGTCGAATAAGCGTTTCGACATATTAAATGCTACGATCTTTGCCATCAAATTATGCTCGGGCCTTGAACGAAATTCAAAACGTGAACAAATTCGTTCATCGGTGAAAATTGTCCATAACAACTTTAAACCTATTTAGTGTTTTTAGCGACAGTAATTGATTGTTGTAATGGAATACGGTTTGTCTTTCAAATCTTTTGCTAGTGCCGACAATTACATCGTTGAATGATTTTGGCAATAGGAAAAACATTAAATTGTAACAAAAATGAATTAGGTTGCGCAAAAGTGAGAATACATGTGATAATAATAAGGCTACACCCAGGGGAAGGGCGAGAAAAACCAAAGCGAAGTCGCGTCACGTATCACCCGTCCGGCCGCGTCTCTTTTACAATAATGTGCGGTGCTCCGAAGGTGGGTCTCGTGTACATTATTGTAAGAAAACAGTTATAATATCGGTAACTATCCACCATCCATTTTAAATACAGGATATGTTATATTAACAAGATTAAAATTTCCCTTATCTATGTTTTTTTTATTATTTTATAGCTAAATAGCTTCAAGAGTAGGAAATGTTCCTGTTTTGTGATAGGTGTGCCGCAAATATTTAAATAGCTCATTAGTGTGCCGTGACATAAAAAGGTTGGGAACCACTGGTCTAATACAACGTTTCTCAGGCACACTGTGAATGAGCACGTGAATGTTGGTGGTCTGCGAAATAGGTTTTGGTAATTACTAAAACAGCAAAAACTAGTGCCCAGTCCTGTCCAAATCATAACAAAAGTTGAAAATTTGACTTCTCGCCATTCGTATCACTCACTAGTCCAGTGGTTCCAAACTTTTTCAAAAAAATTGTCTGACGGACCCCTTGCAATTTTGTTTTTGTTTCGCGGCCCTGTGCACTAATTGACTAAAATAGAACATTATCAAAGAAAGACAGAAAGATATCACATAAAACAAGATCACAACAAAAATAAATGCTCCACACGGTGTAGCGCAAAACATATCTTCACCTGCGTTTATCACGATAAAATTACATACGATTATCTCAATTTTAATTTTAGAAGACATTTTGAAATTGATAATACAGAGTTGAGAACGTAAAAATATATGCCTACCGTTACCGTGTGTCAAAGACTAAATTTGACATCTAAAAACTAAAACGTAGTGCCTTTCTGACTGCGCTATATTTAACGCTATCCACCTTTCAAAACAAAAGCGTAAATCAGCATTTAGAAACGGAGTGGCATACTTTATCAACTACCTACTGTAATTCTCTCCTATAACAACAAGCATGCAAAAAGGCAGCGCCATCTACACCTCCAAGTACAGTTTTAAGTATTTAGCGGGATTTCCAAGCATATGTAGCAAGATGTCGTACGACCTGAACCCTAACCGGTACACAATACCATGTTCAGGTTGTGCGCCATCTTGGTGCACATATATTACTTCTGGAGCTCCGGGTAAACCACGGCGACTGACTTTTTAGCTGCCCCAAACCGGTACCACGGCAGCAAATTAAAAAATCATGTCGGGTAAAATTTTGATGCCGTAATCAAGGCATGTCGGATGTATTGGCAGGGCTGCCCCTGTTGGTGACAAACAATGAGTAGGTTGGTACTTTTTTTGGTATATTAAACGAAAATACGGCGCATGACTTTGTTAATATGCCGATAATACTGATTACTAAATTATAGCGCCATTAAACCATGGCATGAGACGCCGCGGTTTGTTCGTGGCAGGAGCTGCCATAACTTTGTGACGTCACAATCGGGAAAGCCTAATCGAAACAAAAAGTGAAGAATCAGTGTCCTCAGCAGAGATTGTAAAGCATCATAATGCGATAAATGTGTCTTTCCAAATTTAAGCAGTTAATTTTTACATTATCAAACTTTGAGCCATCCAACAGATTTCTTTCGCGGACCCTCGGAAAGTACTTCACGGACCCCAAAAGGTCCGCGGACCCTAGTTTGGGAACCACTGCACTAGTCGATCCTGAGCGAAGAGGGCAAAATAAGCGAATCGTCGTCCCTGGATGCGAAATATGAGGGGGAGAAAACAATCGGTAATATACATTGGGTTTTCACCAATGACGTGTTGTATTTGATCGACATCTTACATGCGTATAGCGTATCGGGTTGCAAAAGAACGTACAGGGATTTACCACGATATTTGTAAACGTGGAATGTCAATGAATTTAATCGATAGCAGGTCGTCACCGCCTTTGAACAGAGATTAATAGATCAGGGTTAAGACCAGACAAAAGTTCGGCATTTTTCGCGTTTTTATAATATCGGCCAAGATCGGCCATTTATATCCTTCAACTTGGTTTCTGTGATGACTGACGACGAGGTATAAAATTTGAAAACACCTAAAATATTGCGTGATGAAGGTGCGGAAAAAAAGTAGTAGTATATATTATATGTAAGGCTGCTCTCAATTTGATTTTCTAGTAATGTGGCAGTTGGAAAGAATATGTCAAGGAAGAATTTTGACTCAGCTAACAGCAATTCCAAAGCATCATAAACTTACTTTTTCAAGAAAACGAAGTAAGATGGAATCATGTATGCTGGCAGTTTATGCTTGAGCTCTGTGCGTATTTGCTTTTTAGTGGCTCCGGGTTGAGGAACGATGTATGCAACTAGTTGTTTATCATCTCCTTCCTCTCCTTTCGTCACAACTACACAAGCGTTTACCACCGAAATTTGAAGCAACGCTGCTTCCACTGCCTTGATGGAAGGATAACGTACGATAAAATTAGTAACAGAGGTCAAAATAGGCAAAATCAGATACAGTAGTTTTTTCAAATATGCTTATGTTTGTATGCAGAACAAACAGAATCAATGGTGAAAAACTGACAAAGTAAAAGTGCTATATTAATGCTAAGTCAAATTATGTTTCGTTCGTCGAATAAATATTGACGCCTTGTCATCTGACTAACTTGTGTTTCCACACTGTATCCTCTTATTTTCACCATCGTGTCACATCTTCCGCATATTTCTAAGATTTTATTGGGCAGCATCAATCCCCAGTCTCCAGAACGATATACTCTAGTTGTAGAACCGTCTTGGGGCAAGTCAATGAATCGCTCTGCGTCTAGTTTAGGTCGATTTAAATATCCTCTGGCCAACGTAGGTCCACCAACATAAATCTGAAAAGACATGACAATATCATCTTATTTTATGCTTCGTCTATAAATGGATATAGATAGACGCAAACAATTTCAAGTTCTTCCAATACCTGATGAAATCATATAATTACATTTTTAGAATCAGTCAGTTTCATAGCGTGTTATATACAGTCAGAAATATAGGTCGACTCATATGCTCGTGTGTGTTTAATTAATATAGTCTTGCGTTATAATCAATTTATTTTGTCGGCTCAATTCAGCGCTCGCCTTTGCATTACGTACGCGTAGCAATACTTACAGTTAGTTGGTTGCCTAAAATGATTACCAATCGCTTACCTCTCCAGCTACGCCCGCCGGCTGAATATTCAATTCTTCGTCAAGGATATATATGTGTACACCAGGCAGCACTTTACCAACTGGAGCAAATTTTCTTTTGGCCAACGCTTCCACGTCGCTCGTTTGCTCTTCAATATCTATCCAATATTGGCTCAAGTCAGCTGCTGCGACATCATGGCATTCTGCCACAAGACAAAAATATTGAACACTTTGATTCTAAATCAGCTTTTTCCGATTGAAACAGGTATTAGGTAAAATAAAAACAACAAAAAGATGGAAATTCCTATGTCAATATAAAGCCACCGATCACCCAACATTATTTGAAACAACATAAAAAAATGCAATATTTTCCTTTTCTTTAAACAATCTGCTACTATCGTGACGTGCTACGTGACAACTTTGTACCTATTTCGCTTCGTCATGCTGGTCGTGTTGAACTCGAAAAATGTCAAAAACATAGGGAGACGCCGCAAAAATCAAAATGAATATCAATCACGAACAGTTGAAATACAATTGCAGTCGTCGCGCCCTGTTTTTGACATTTTTCGAGTTCATCATTACCAGCATGACCGACGTGAAATAGGTACAAAGTTGTCATGTAGCACGTCACGATGTCATGAGAACTGGTTCAAATCATTATACAAATTGCAGGTACTACTACACTTAGCTTCAACATGAATACAGTTCACACTTTCCTGCCAAGTTTAGTCAAAAAATAAATCCAGAACATTTTCATAGACATCTTCTCCCTTTCAATACCATAAAACCTTCATCTACCAAGTCATTCTTGGCTGTGGACTACCAAAAAAAAAAATTCTAAATTCTGAAAGAGCACAAACGTCTATGTACATCAGAATCTTCATACCTACAAATGCCCTTAGGACTTCCAGCGCAATGCCACTGACCAGTCCGAAACTTTCAGGTTGGCATCTGCGAGAACCATCACCAACGACCTGGCCAATACGCCGCTATCTTTGTTATGGCAATAAAACTGACTAGGCATTCCGAATTTCCACAACGTCCCATGCTACCAACATGATGAACATTCATTGATTTCGCTGCAACCCCGCTCATAATTTATCACACGTTACACTTTCGGAATATCGAGGCCTCTTGCATCAACATAGGTTGAAAAAATCTTAAAGTGGATCAAGTGGAACCTTGCCTCCGGTAGATACATTTATCCTATTTTTGTAATTTTCTATAAGTATTACACTCAGTAAATATATATATACCAACCTGAGACACTGTATAAATTTAAAAAACGTGCGGACGGGAATGATTCCACGCATCTACCAAGCAACGACATAGTCACAACTTCTCCACAAAACCAGATTATTCTGTACGAAAAATAGGGTAACATCACAGTGAGTTGGCAATATAAAAAATTGATGTTCGATGATTCCGTTTTGATTTGCTAGTTTGACACGTTGACTCAAATATAGTAACGCGCTATTCATTAACATGTGTTTATGTAAGGCCTCATTCAACGCAAAGATGTGAAGCGCATCAAAATACGATTTTTCAATAAATTTTATATATATACCTTAGGCTCAATAAATCGTTCAAATCTACACCATCAGTATCCATTACTGTTTCCAACAAGGAAGGCGTGACGAGTATTCGAGTTATCGAATGCTGTTTAATAAATTTGGATAAAAGCCCCGGATCATAAATAACTTCATCTGGTATGATATACATGGTAATGCCCTGTAAAAATATAAATTGATGTTACAAAATACAGTATTTGGTGAATGAATAGAGGAAGCCTAGATTGTGCTTTGTATGTCAAATTGGCCAAGATATTTTTATTTTTATTTTATTTTTATTTATATTTTATTTTATAATCGAAATGTAGTAAATTACTTATCATTCTATTAAAAGACAACTGCTGTGATATTTTCTTGGTGGAAAGTTGCAGGCCGAAGCAAATTGTATAATGTAGTCAAGAGTAACCAGCACACCAACACAGGGAATATAGTACGCCAAATCAGACATTTCTCCATGCAATGCAGGAACCCAAATGACTATTTCAATATGCAGCGCGTGGTATTCGAGTGAATGAGCAGTAATTTTATCGTACTCAGTCGCCACGCTGAATAACATTTACCACCTATAGCGTTACACATACCTTTAGCAATGGACGTAACAATTCCCAAACGAAGAAAATGTTGCAGGCCACCCTCTCATTTTCTGCAAACGGATATGCCAAATGTCTCCAAGTGTAAGAAAATACCGATCCTCGATGTGGACACATGATTCCTGGAATAATAGTATACATTATTTTCTTGACGAAAATGACCTCTCCGACAGAAAACAAACAAAAATTTTCAATTCTTTAAAATATTGCGATAATTGTAACAGGAATATATATTATCAAACTACGAAATGTGCAAAACTCCAATATTGTTAAATACTGCATATACCGCCTGCATTTTATTGCTTCAGGTTAAATATGGTATAGACTCTCTCTGTATATAGCATATGGAGCATAAAATTATATCGCGTGTGAAATATACCCAAGTTCAATAAAACGACACGTTGGATTTTTTGTGTTTTCTTGGCGTCATTCCTTGACAAACTTACAACTTATATGTGACTAGGAGAGGTTCAAAGTTGTGTGCTTTGTGCGCTTTTGCACAGCGGAAGAATACGGTTTCAATATCTTTGCATCCACGTATGTACCCGCAAACTGCACCCATATATTCCAACCTGCATATTTTTGCGCCCACTGACATTTCCACCTGAATTTTCAACTATGGGAATATGTGTATCAAAGATATTTGCACCCATATGCGTTTGCACTTACGAACGTTTGTATGCGTGTACACATGGACCCTCAGAGTAACCCATTATTGGACTAGGTACGTTGAGCCAATAGTTGTTTGTATTCTATGTAGATTTGCATCTTTGGATAGTGGCGTACCCAGGATATCACATACAATAATTGAAATTTGTGATGTCATATTTCGTATTTTACACAATATAAGGGCTTTTTGTGGCGTCATATAGGGTTCTATGAAATGCATCATGACTTTTATTGAATTGCTCAGCATTCTTATAAACTGTATTATGACTTCATATTGAACTTTCCTATTTGTGTAAAATACAAAATTCCATGTATAGCCAAGATACGTACGTATCTTGAATTAGAAAACAAGTATTGATCTTTAATAACAAATGGATTTTCTATCTTATAATCTCTTCACAAAACAAATTCACCTTTCGGCTTTCCTGTGGTGCCCGAAGAATAACACACATATGCCAGATCGTTCAAATCAGCTTTCTGCAGTATACAATCGCCTGCTGGTTCTTTGAATTTCGATTTCATGTCCTTTTCCCAATCACCAGTTAGATTAACAATATTCTGATTTTCCAATATAATATCTGAATCAAAGTTTACTGCTATACTTAACTGAAGGTTTAGGAAAATTATCGGATCTAAACTTGCGTCTTTACTACTTTGAACACACAAATTTGTTCTTTTTGTGATAAATTCTGTTTGTTTGAGAATTTTTATAAAGAACTTAGAAACTATGAACATCTTGAGCAATTTATCACATCGAAACGTATCCTATATTTAACCAGTAATGAATTGATAAACGTCAAATCAAGCCTACCTGCCGCATCTTGTGACACACTGTTTATGACTTTACCTTGCAAATTCCCGTTCCAATTTGTGTTTGTTATAACACTGCTTGGATTGGCATCCATGAATATGTCTTTCAATAGATTGATAGGATATGTCACATCCAACGGCATGTAAGCAGCTCCTGTTATAAGTTAGAGTTGGTTTATGATACCTCTCCACCCATACTTGTAAATCATTTATCAATGGTATTCATGTCGCTTTGCAATCATTTCCATCGTTAATTGTGTTATTTAATTGTATACCGAAAGAAGGTACTAACTAGAACAAAAATTAAAATAGAGATTTTCCTATACGCATTGGCCCTTACAACTTACCAGACGGATCGCAGAATCTGAAATTGTATTAGCAAAAAAAAATTGTATTATAAAGTTGACTTATGCACATTCATTTTACGTAATTAATGAATTCAAAATTTCAGCTATAATTTCTATAACCAATTCTATCATTTCTTTTTTTAAGTAGTATTGCCTGAGCAACCTAAACTTAATTCTAGATTTGAGTTACATTACCTGATTTAAGTATAGATATGTAGGCGATCACATACTCCAAACATTTTTCCATATATATTCCTACGACTCCATCTGTTCGCGCACCGTTTGAAATTAATTTATGAGCTAAAATGTCAGTTTTCCTGTCAAGTTCAGCAAAAGTAATTTCTGTTTCCGCAAAAACGACTGCTAGTTTGTTGGGAGTGAGCTTGCATTGTCTTTTGAATATATCGTGTAAATATCCCAAGTCTTCAAACCTAGAAAAATGTGGTTGAAAATAAATAGAAATGGGATTGACTCGTAAACATGGTCGTGAGATTTCTTATATTACACACTTATAAATTCAGATAATGCTAATTTCTAAGTTCATTATTATGTGCACAGGTTGTTCGCCCCTATTTAAAAAAGTAAATCATAATAAGGCGTCACCTTGTAGAAATGGCTTTTTGAACGAAATTATTTGAAATGAATAATTCGTTACACTAAATAAAATGATATGTTGGATGACTTACTCCATTAATTTGTCCATGTTTTATTATGCAGTGATGTGTCGGAGAACACTTCGTGCAGAAATTTTAAAAATGGAGTTTCTCTATAATCGTAAATCGTAAATATTAAGAAAAAACCGAGGCAAGAAAGATTTTATTAATTAAGATGACTACTTTAGCGTCATATTTTAAAAATGCTATGGCAAAAATATTTATTTTAATGATTTCTACCCTTTAGCGGTAACAATTGTCACAACCAAACTATGTTACTTTGTTCACTGCTTTTCTAAGCGCTTTGTTGAGTTATGTGTTTGGCGATGCAGTCCAAAATCTAGCCTGGTTGGAAAAAAGAAACTTTTTAAAACAATAAACCATTGTATTTTTTAAAGCAATAAATACATATATTAGCAATAAATTCCCATATTCTGCTGTTTCATTTAGTTATGTTATCGCTGCAATTATGAAATCGCTGCATACGACTGGTCTGAGTGACCGTCTAACGTTAAATTTCAATTAAATTTCATGGTAAAATAAGAAAAAACGCATAAACGTCGCGTTTTATTTTAATTTTTCTACCCAAAATCTTATCTTCTAAATGGAGAGAGTCATCAATATTATTATCCAACTCAAAACTTACACTGCTCGAGACTAAGATCTGAACTTCGCTCAATGTACTGACTTCTGCAAATCGCAGAATTCATCGCAGTTTAATGTCAGTAAAGTAGCTGTTAAATATATAATTGATATGTTTGTTCATCGAAGTTGTGCTCTGCGATGGACTTTGATTTCTAGACTTCGTCAGTTTAAACGCGTGGCGTCGTGTTTATTGTTAACTCTTATTACGTAATTTTGTAAATGTTCGTATCGTTATCATATTTCGTCATAGAGCGACGCATGGTATGTAATGCCCGTTCGCTTATACTTCTGCATTATAGGTCTGACCTGGTTTTATGCGTAAATCACGCTGTGAACAGAATGATCAGAGACTCGCCATTCGTGGTATTCTTTTTAGTGTCATATGATCTTATGTGACTATATATAGTTAGGATAATGTTTGTATGGCCTCTGTCGTCACTAGGCCTTTTTTGTTGAGAAGAAGCTTTTAGCAGCACCTAAAAGATTTGCGAAATCACCACATTTACAAAATACACAGGTCGTATAACCAGTCCTTTTATTGTAACCACAAATGTTAAAAGCGCGTGACATTTCCCGGAATTTGGGGATATTTAATATCATCTTGTCATTCACGATAAATCGAACCCAGACCAGGGTCAAAAATCAAATGCAACTAATTCTCATTGATATGCGAGGTTAGGATATTAATGTCGAAAATATTTGTGATCATATCACTGAACGGAAATATTTTCCACTCCCGCTGTTTGCTGAACAACGATTCGTTAAAGTTGATTGATCGAATACACAGGAATTATTTATTCATCATCTCACTGGCCAAAATCAGGATGTTGTCTTTCTTAAAAAATGACTTTATAATCAATGTTCATTTTACTTTTGTGTATTATTTATGATATGTTGGGTTTTCATTTATTGCAAATTCGAAATTGTCCGGGATACTCAAACAGGTGTATAAGTATAATAATAATAGTATAGTGTAATCGAGTAATCAACTTACCAAAAGGAAAGTTTAATGAACTTGATGTTACGGGCGTCGTAACCCCGTTTTGGATTTTTTTAAATTTGATTGTTCTACCTTCTGCTTGAAAAACAACGTCGCTTTACAGTCATCTAATGTAACTCTCGCGACCAAATCTATTTTGCTCTTTATGGCCTCCATTTAGCATTTTCTTGTCAACAGGATTTTAATTGTGTTTTAGGATAAGTTATTTTCTGTTAGTTGGAGCTGATAACGACGCTATTTCCGTATAAAAATGGAAAATTTGAAATGTGTCTGCTAATTGACAATGGATAGCACAAGATTCAGCAGCAAATAATGAACAAACTTATTTTATAATCATAGTTTCTTAATAAAGATTTGCTAATTAAGGCTGGATATAAAGAGTGTGGCCTGAAATATATAACAGAACCTCATTTATTTTTCAGTCGACGAAAACCCTCTATAATAACGATTGCCGAAATCACAAGAACTTAATATGAATTGTCGGTGACCGTACATTTGAACCCACGTACATTTGAACCCATGCGTATATCCGCGGGTTCAATCTATATGTGGGTGCTAAAACCCATGGGTTAGGGTGAGTATTGGTTCAAATATCTGTAAAACAAACAAAAAAAATCCATAGGTGCAATTGTCATGGGTTCAAATGTAATGGAACCGAATTGTTAATTGTGATCCAATGACCGAGAGGGCACATATTCTTCTTTCTGTTCGAAGCTGATATAAAACGAATACCATGTCGCCGAAAAGCGGTTACGTGTTGTCTTTCTTTAGCCACCAATAGTGGTATATACATATTATACAAGAGCAATAAAGTCCCGAAAGCAATAGTGTTTATGTGCAGCGTTTTGAATTATCGGTACATAGTCCTACTCACAAATGTTTAATCCATGGCCAATATACGCGAACAAGAGCATCACTTTAGGTATTTATTTCGGAGCTATGTAAAAGTATTGGACTCGGGACCCAAATACTCGGATTCAGCCAAGCCGAACCTTTTTGGATTCGTTGTATTCCTAGCATTTGGCCATGGCCGCTAGTAACTAATATCGATCCCAGCCTACACGTATCAATCGTTGCCTGTTAGATGGAAGAAGAAAATGTGCAAGGCTTTGCTGTTCACGCGAAGGAGTAGGCTTTGCAACTGACACGGGTGTTTGATTGACCAACGCCGTGTCACCGAAATCTCTAGAGACAGTATAGGGAATTGTTCTGCCCTATAGATATATAATATAGTTCGATTGCCGTGTTATTGAATACACGTTATGGGATGTAACCCCAATCTGGACTCCTTCAGAGGTCAAAAAAACACAAAATGTATTGCATGCCGAATGTTGTATATATTGAAAGATGTCCAATCCAATCCGAATATAGATAAATTGAAAACACTTTAACTCTTAATACAGTAAAATAATAATAAATCACCAGCCCAATATATTTCAGCACTCTCGGCGTGGCCGGAAACGATACGTCACCAAATTGGGCGCTTGCAAAGAAGGCTATAGAGTCGCGAATCATAAAGTGACCTATTTTCAGAGAATGTAACATACTATTAATATGAAGGGGTTAAATAACATTATAATCTATTCTATAGTTATAATCCACAGTCGCTGCACAATTCCCCCCAGACAGTAAAAAATTAGCTTGCTAATTTTCAAATTTTGTAACTCGGCCGCCGAGAGATGAAATTACGGACGAAATAAGAAATTGTATGAACATAATAATGGGTGCGGCACTTAAGGGAAGGGACACAAGAACGGTACAATGGTTCTGATATTTAAAGGAAGGGACATATAATAAAACAAAATGGCTGATTTGGTACTTAAGAATACATTGAAAATGGTTTGGTGTTTGAACTTTAAGATTGACCCCAAAGTGGTATAGAAATTGTTTTGAAGCAAAATAATAAATAAAAACTAATCTTGTAAATTGAATAATAAGTAATTTGACGGGTTATTGAACCATTGAATCCTTGAGATTGAACCTGAATCAAATTCTGTATGAAGTAAAATTCATGATATCTAAAAACAATACTGTACATGGATTAATAACAAGCAATTTCACACAAAAGAAAGTACACTAACGATTTTCTGTATGATTTTATAATTTTTAAATTTTTTTTTATAGTAAGATTTTTAATGTTTTATAATTGAACAATAAAGAGAAAAATAAAATAAAATACAAGACGAAAAATAAAACGATGCGATACATTTCGACAGGGGTCGGCAACTTATGGCCCGCGGAGCCATACAATCCGGCCCGCGAGGCTTCACTGAATTATAGTATCAAGACAGCTGTTTTGACGACTATATTCTTTACGTAACATAATTTATTTTGAGACACGTGCAGGCTAAATTATATTATAACCAAACAAGTATATAATTCTCAACTACTCGTTTAATGAGCCTATTATTTAATTATAATTAGAAACAACAAAACGCAGAAAAGTTTATGTAAGTGCAAATGGTTTAATGGCGCAGAAAATATTCAAATGGTCAGTCTTCGCGCGCTGCTCAAAATTTAACTTCTGATCTGTGTGAAAAAATGCGATTCATCTGCCATCAGTTCGGTTTTTAACCTTCCTAAAAATATGTGTGCCCGCCAATGACTTGCAAACTTTAATTTTGGCCCGCGAGCTACAAAAGGTTGCCGACCCCTGCGATTACGAGATACACACTACATACAATTCGCAACGACCGTCGGGACCGAGTTTGCCCTAAAAGGGTTAGGAATAAATTGAAGGGTTTGTTACAAGTCAAACATTTGAGTCAAACTGAGCTTGAGTACTTGCTTTTGAAAATTGCTAGCCACCTCGATATTCTCATCATCCATTTCGATATCCTCTAACTCGTGGATTTCGGGTTGGTCATTGAAATGTACTACAGGTGGTTTTGGTACGTTTAGGAGTCGTTGTAGTGGACTATCGAAATACACAGCAACTATCCTTATGTACTCGCTACAACAGAATGTATAAATGAAAGGGAAAAATATATACATCGTGACATGCACGAATTAATAACAACTCATGAAGGCGTATTATATTGGATTCTCTCTGGGTTCAATCAATATTTCATTCACTCCGACATGGTCAGGTTGTGTTACTGCATATAAGACTGCTCTGCCAACATCATTCGGATTCAGTATTTCGCAGGATTCACTCTCGTCGTATGCATTCATCGCCTAACAATAATATACCACAATTTATTAGTAATGTGCCACATTTGGCAAATTAGCGTCCACCATATCTATATATGAGCTAACTTATTTGTTGACCTTATACAAAAACATTATTTCCTTAAAAAATGGTTTGAATGTGATATATATATAATGGATAAATCCTTGCTAACCAGCAACTCACTTCGTGGTCTTTAGTATGAGTTAATAATTCTGTTTTAACATCGCCTGGTTGTATACAAGTCACTCTGATGCCCTTTCCTTTTATCTCTTGTCGAAGACCTTGTGATAGACCTTCTACAAAAAACTTTGTTCCCGAGTAAACTGCCAGACCGGCCAATCCCTACAAAATGAAAGAAAAGTTATGAGATTGACAGCTCCAATTTTGCGATAAGTATAACTTTTCAGGCTTTCCTAACCTGGAAATTTTATGGAAAAAGAGACTCTTAAACTAACTGCGTATGCCTACACTAAACCCAAAAGAGCAAAAAATTCTATATACTAAATTGGACTTCAACTGAAAATGTACTCTTGTCATTATATTCATATACAATACTTTACAATCCGTACCCTTCTTCCAGCATCAGAAGATGTATTGACAATATGTCCACTGCATTTCTTCAACATTCCCGGTAGAACGGCACCGATACCATTAGATACCCCTCTACAATTCACACTTATCATTTCATCCCAATCATCCATCATTAAGTTATGCATATGAGTATAGTACATCAGGCCAGCATTATTTACGAGGATATCGACACTTCCCAGTTTATCTTCGATCCTTTTGACAATTTTTTTAAACTGAAAGAAATTAGAACACTTGAGAGTAACTATATTGGAATATTAATGGTATGGATGAAAACCGGGTGGGAAGCGAAGAAGGATCAGATATATATATATATATGAATTTATTCAATAGACTGGGTAAATTAGAGTATGAACATACAAACACGGCGAGCTTTCGCGTGATAAAAAGTTGCAGACTTCTATTATTAGTACTAAGAAATGTAGAGCCTCTTGGTCGGATGGGATGCAATCGATCAATTAACAAAACAAGGGCTCTATATTTGTGTCAAATATACTGACGTAATTAGAAATTGACATTTTTTAACCAAACTGAACAAATTAGTAACTTGCAAAACATACATCTTGGCCACGGTATAACACACCTCAGGTTTAGGGAGAATTTAATGTAAATGTAGTTGGATTCAAATTTTACAAATCTGAGATAAACCATGAAAGTCGTGGACTGACAGCATGCCGTTTGGCGGATTTTATCATCCAAAGTCTTAACTATTGAAGTTCTCACGCACATCTCGATCGAAAATGCTAGTAAACTTTGCACATTTTGCGTTGTATAGTTTTATTTTGTTTCCTGAGAACCTTGTACTTTTTGTGTCGGACTTGTTGAACCATTTAAATCAAACCTAAAAATATAGTTCTCGATTTTTCCTCTTGCCATGGAGAGCCAAATAAAAATATGTATTTTTCTAAATAATAACGAGCAAGTGTGGGTTGACTCGCACAACTTCTCCAACTGGTTTTTCATTGAAACACATGAATTAATAAATATATATATATATATAGACGGATTCCCAACCTGTTTCCTGTCGGTGACATCGAGGGCAAAACTTTCTGATATTCCCCCATCAACGATAATTTCTTTTTTTATTTCCTCAAGTTTATCAACTCGTCTTGCAGCAATACAGACCTAGATGAAACGCATACTCAAATATCCACCATGAGATATATCTCAGAGTAATAAATCTTGAATATTTAAAATTTATTTAGGCGCTTGGGTTCGAAAGGGTTGGCAACGCGTTATGCAGATGCAGCTTAAACTATGCAATATACATACACAGCCATTCAAGTCACATATGCGGGAGCGTTATTATTACACAATTTACATTGTCAGTGTGTGCATGTTCTTTTGTCAATTGGTTGGAAAAGTCATCAAGAAATGCTGTAAAGAGTCATTATTAATTGGTATTAATTACATAATAATCACTGCACAATAAGCTTTGAAATTGCAACGACAAGAGTAAGTAAGAGTAATGCTCAAATATATGGGCAGGAAGATCAAAACGAAGTATTACATCGAAGTATACATTGCATATTATCAATATAGCAAAAGTATCACAACTTGTAATATTACAAACCTCAGAGTGAGAGAGTGAGTCAGATAGTATTCTAGTTTAGTCTAATTTCGACAGGGAAAGTAAAATCGATACTTGAGAGCCTTGAGAAAAAATCTATAAAATGTCTTGCATATGTAATTTACTCAACTGACTTACCTTCGCGCCAGCTTGAGCTAGATATTTGGCAACGGCCTTCCCTATACCACTTGATGCCCCAGTAACCAGAGCTACTTTGCCATGTAAATCTGAAATTGAGACAGACATTTTGCAGATTCAAAATGAGCGAACATCCACGCCATGCAGCGTCGTGTCAGTCGGCAATTTCTGCGCTGTAATTACGCTCACCGGAGAATGACGTTAAGGGGTCAAGGTGACTTATTTAATTACTGTTTTACTAATTGCCGTTCGCTATATTTAATCTATAATTTCTAAATTTACAAAACGTTTTTGCATCTTACATCGCGACAGACGGTTATACTTGGAGCTATTGAACAAATCCGTTCTAATATTTCCTTCTCAAGATTTACTTTGACACGTTGAGACTTACACTACGCAAAATCATCTATAACTGTTGAGGATGATGTTGATTTTGTAAGATAAAAGTGTGTTCAAAACTGGAGGTACGATGCAGTAAAGATATCAAAGGTTCGTCTGTCATCACACCAATGTCGTTTTCGAGTTTTTAGAAGAAAATGCAGTACTCCTTGCCTGCTTATAACTGGCTACTTGATAAGTAAATGGGTACGAAATGAAATTAAGTTTCAAATAAAGGAGAAAATTTCACAGCTGTCACGGGGAATGGAAAAAATTAACCAATAAAATAGACACAAACTGTTACTAATTTTGGCTTGTACATTCAAAAAATATTTTCAAAAGGTTCGTGCAAAAATTATCCCAAATAAACTTACCTCTTCCGTGACGAGGTTTTGGTGGCGGTATGAGTTTTCGTCTAGATAAATTCTTCAAGTAATGATCAATCAGGTTTTGATTCAGAGTTGGGTATTCCTGCTTCAATAGCGTTTTCATGACTTTGTTGAAAACTGCGTTGTCGTACGTTGTAACAAATGAAAACAATGATGTATCTCTGGAAATATTGCAAATCTTTTATGTTTTATCTATATATGCAAAACAGTATTCTTCAATTCTGGATCGGGGCCATAACAGGCTCAAAAAGGTCAACTATCACTATAAACGAAGTCGTGATACAAAATAGGAAAACCGATATCCATTTATCTATAAAAACCACGTTTTAGTCAAAATAGCTTCAAAACATATAGATTATCAATCATTTTATACGTGAAGAAGATATTTTTTGCAACCGCATAGGTAAAAAAATCGTGTAAAATACTAGGTCTTATTTTAAAAGGAGGACTTTTATTAAAAGAATTTTCAAAATTCAGGCTAGATCTTATTTTCAGGGTAGGTCTTATTTTCAGGGAAACACGGTAGTAAAACGATTTTTTCCAATACAAAATAGTATTTCATATGGAAGTCATTCCAGTTCAGCCCTTTTAGCGTATCATGGATTTTAACTCCACATTTTTACAATGACGAGAGGAATTTGTAAATAATCTTGCCTTTGAATCAGGTTTATTGATAAATATCGTGTTTGTATGAATGGTATCTTACTTTGATTGAGTGATGGAACCTAGCATTGAACGGGGCGAAGGAGTCCCGGGAGCAACCAATTTTTCATCCATGCCCTCAACCGCGTCACACCAATCATCAAATTTAACCATTTGCAACTCGTACCCAGCTGCACAAATCATGAAGAACAGGACGCTTAAAACAAATATATATATATATATGTATGTATTATTTGAACGCTGAAATTGTTAACAAGATATTATATTATACTCCATTGAGACTCAAGGATGCAAAATCATATATCAAATATATGCCAAGCTATTGAAAGCGATTTCAAAGCGCATTTATTGCATGCGTTATTCTAGAAAAATTGCGCACATGAACAAGAGAGCACAAATAGGCGCATTATTAAGTAAAACAGCGAATGTCGATTCACGAAAATGCTCTTATCAGGTCGGCTATAGTTCCTTTTCATAAAAGTTGTCAGTAGCAAGAGTAGCATCTAGAGCAGAGGACGGGAACCCATGGCTCGCGAGCCATATATGGCTCTTTTGGTGACGGCATATGGCTCCCAGAAAAATCTGATATTCTAAGGTCAAGCTTATTATTGTTACTACCAGATTCCAAACTCTTTTATAGCAGAATTTGTCAGAAAATTTGCAAATACGTTTGAGAACGCGCGCCCAGTGCATGTCTATGTTATTTTAGAGAATTACCAGACAGGCATTGTGATAAAACTAGGGGATTCTGGAACATATTTTATGACATCACAAAGCGATGGAGTCGCAGAGCAATAAGATAAAGCTTTTTGTCCGTTTGTACGTATTAGTTACAGTATTTGTGATATTAAAATCGGACTAGCAAAACTAGTTTTTAAAATACTGCGGAGATGCCTAAACCAAAGAAGGGTGATAAATATAGTAGATTTCAACTTGTGCTGTAGGCCTATGTGAGCAGCCGTTCAAGGCTCGCAGCGACAACGTGCATCATCAGAAGTCACATTAAATGTATATATATATTGACAACGTATGTGTTGACTTTTGAGTAAAAATTTCAGGCCTGATTAAGGGAAGAAATGCTATATGGCTCGCACGGAAATGCAGTTGAAAATATGTACCTTTTATGGCTCTCTCGACCAAAAAGGTTCCCGACCCCTGATCAAGAGTATGATTGTATAGGCTAGGCTCCAACAGTTTTATTTTATAATTTTTAGTTTTATATCTGGAATTATTTAAATCGAGCACATTTATATTTATATAAAGATATCATTGAATGTACTATCTTACCTAGAATCAATAGCTTTGGGGTTAACCAGGTGAAATACTTTATGCATTGCAATTGAAAAGTTTTGACTGAGCTGTACGATCGCATTACTCAAAAAATCTACAGGAGTCATTTCAACACTCCAATTTATATCTGGCCACACTCCAGTTAATATACTCGCTCTTATAACGAGTAAATTAAAATCAGATGAATTCCATCCAGCATTTACGCGATCACCAGACACATTGCCTGAAAAATAAAAATAGGTTGAACTTGGGTTGCTTCTTGCAGCACCACCAAAAGAAAGAAAACCTCTAGAACTTCTATTCATATTTACATATAAAAAAATATGTAACTTAGGGTCCTTTTATTCATATAAATATAAGTTACTCCAATTAAAAAGCATGTAGGTTTATCGTCTACTTATGTAGAAAACTGAAAAAACCTGGACGATATATAGTAGCCGGTAATCCACTTTCGATTGCGTGCATTACGAGTTGTTCCGCGACCCATTTACTTTGCGAATATCCATCTTCTAGCTCAGATTTCACGAAGGCAGAAGAAGTTTCTTTGCAGTTTTCCTGTGTACATTAGTTCAATTGTATATACATACAAATATACTAAATATTAGTTATATGCAAGATTTCAGATACGTAAGCCCATGGTATATTTCGCCGGGAATTTATTTCCAACTCTATGCTTATTGGTCTGTTCACGGCATCACCGAACGAGAACTAATGCTTGTATAATATCAAATTCGCATTTGATCTTTTGTAATGTATCTAATGACTAGTATGAAAATACTCATTCATAAAAATACTTCATAAATTCATGAAATCAACTTCACCTGGTAATTGGGAAGCACAGAATTGGTGCTGATGTAATGTAACGCTTTGATCTTCCCCGTCTTGCAGAACATAAGAACATTTCTTGTTCCGTGCACATTAGCGCCTTTAAATGCTTCATATGGATACAATAAGTTGACAAATGCACCTGCATGAATTACATAATCAATCTGAAAAATTAACAAAAATTAATTAATGTTTCTAATTCTTGCCATGTTAGCTGTTTCACTCCTCAGTTCACACAAGCATTATTGTTTAATGAGTTTAGCATCACACAATTCTCGTACATTTTTTGACCACTTTTATTCAATTGAAGATGAAAAAGTAACATGCTGAAATACATATAACTGGTGCTAACTGCTAATCATATTTAATTTATCAAAGAGAATTGAATTATAGCTATTTTGGAAATGAATCACAATTTGAGTGCATCCTAACTCTGTTACCAAATCAGCATCCTGCGAAAAAAATGGATGTTACACTATTACTCGACAATTACACAGCAAAAACTGGAAAATTGACTTGATTGATTGATTTTTGTACAAAATGCACTTGGAAAACAATCCTTATTTACGTTCATCTATTCAAGTCATGTCCATTTTGTACTTTCTGGCACAAGAGGCCAGTGAATCAGTTTCAAATTTAATTTTAAATAAATTTTTTATTCTGCTTTCAAACAGTCAGGATTACAATACTGCACTCACCTCAAACGAGAGATGAGCATAATCTTCTTCTCCCATCCCAAGATCCAGCAGAGCTACGTCGCCGGAAATTGTGTGTACGCGTGCATCAAAATCCTGTTTGATTCAAAATATATTGGGATGGTATAAGTACTGATAAAATCTGATAGAAAAACTTTTAACATAGACATATTGTTCCTTTTGTCAAGTTGTAACTCTTAACACAGACATATTGAGTCTTTTATGAAGTTGAAACTAACCTGCTTGAGTTTGTCAGATTCGTTGTTGAAAAGCTCATAAAACTTGAAAGTATTTCGCAATCTCTCGGCATTGTCTTCTTCTCTACCTTTTCTGACCAAGCAATAGATTTGGGCCTGATGTGAAATTACTAATTTTATCAATTGGCAATATTTTGAAAATAGATGTTTATAAATAACCAAGGATCTGCATGCGAAGTCATTTCAACAAGTATATAAAACGACCAATTAATATATCGCCAAATCAATTATATTCATAGCAGGTAGTATTTAAAATTACCGTATACCTGGGGCCCGCGTAAAATGCCTGATTTTTTCGTATGCAGAAGGAAAGATATAGATACAATAATTCTGTGACGACACAATCAATGACTACAAATTTTTCGTCATAATTTAGTATGGGAGCGACTGCATACCTATTTATTATATTTTAGCGCGTAATTTATCGCTTTGAAAATCAGCAATGTTTACTGAAAATGGCGCGGCGGTGTGGCTCAACGGGCTAAGCGTTAGGAATACGCTCGCCACCGCACCTCTAATTACTCTGCGTGGGTTCGCAGGTTCGAATCTCATGCCGGGATGATCATGTGCGAGAGGATTGCTGGATTCCTCGCCGTCGTTGGGTGGTTCACGTAACCGCTGGTCGGTTACGGCTTCCTCCACCATCAAGTCCATGCTTCCGAAAACAAAACAATATAACTAATCCCATACCCGACTTGGAATGGTAACCGGACGAGAGGCCGTGGTTCGCCATATGGATAAGCCGTCTTATCGGCTTTCCTCTCCCCCGGGATAAATATGTAAATCCTATCCTAAAATAGTCCTGACATCATCAAGATAGATGAGGCAAGTTTTCGCAAAACTTAGGATAGTTTCATTGATCACAGCTTTTAATCGACAATGATCTAATTTCATAGATCACAATTTTCAGATCATCTTCTTGCTTCGAAAAACTTAATCTGAAGAGAGATCTGAATAGTATACCACGACAATGGTTTGAACGGTAAAATGTCATGTACCACTTATAATCCTTATCTATATGACCCCATTTGTATTATTAGATAGTGGGAGGACTCGCGGACGAACGTTTAATTAGGCGACTTTTTCATTTACCCGTTGACAAAAAAATTAATCTAACCATTTCTTATGATGAAACGATGTGTGATTCCGCCAATGTTTTGGCTCATTTGGTATGACCGAATGTTATCGAGGTTGACTCTTTTCATTATCACCCCCGCTGTCGTAATTTTACCCGTTGACAAAAAAATTAATCTAACCATTTCTTATGATGAAACGATGTGTGATTCCGCCAATGTTTTGGCTCATTTGGTATGACCGAATGTTATCGAGGTTGACTCTCTTCTTTATCACCCCCGCTGTCGTAATTTTGCCATATGTACGACAATATGCGCCGTATGTATCTAATACATTTTCATTTGGTAATTCAGCTCATTTTATCTTGCCTCAAAGTTAAAAACAGAATTTCAAATTCAATCGCTTCGAATACAATATAACTGACGTTTTACCTTCGTGTCAATCAGTAAATCTTTCAGTAAGTACGCGCCCAAAAATCCAGTGGCACCGGTAAGCAGTACCCGACCTCTTTTCCACCGATAGCTGTAGTTTGCAGATCTCCAAAAAGCTCGTAATTGGATGTCCAGATTTGCGCTTGGAATCATGTTTAACTTGACTTCATTTGATAAATCAATATTTTTGGGCTGAATACTGTAGAAAGTGGAAAAAGGTCGTTGTGATTTGCAAAGGAAATCGACAGCTTAGTGGTGAGTTAATACTTGTATTGGGTTGCAAGTTGAGAAACCCCGGTATGATCCCCACGCCCACCATCTCCATGGTGCAATAAGTTGGTAAGACTATTTATTATGTTGAACCGGCAGCAACATATAGTAGCTCCCGTTACATCAGATACGCATCAGATTCAATTGGTCGAAAGTATTTCTTTCTGACTCCCCCAATTGAAAACTTTGACACTTGGCAAGATCTGTTTTGTTTTAATTTTGATTTTTCAACCCAAATCTCGACTATTCTTTCGCTTCTTTTGAACAAAAAATATATCACGTAGTTTAAGAAGATGCATCATACCCGATATCGTGGCCAGCATTTTTAGAATCAATAACTCTTGACAATTCTGCCACAGTTGGATGCGAGAAAAGAGTCTGTACATCAATGTCCACATCGTACAGTTCACGTATTTTTCCAAGTAGTCGAGCAGCAAGTAGAGAATGACTACAATGGAAAAGTAGAAAAATGATAATTCCGCTTTACGAGTACGAAAGTTGTGGCCACCTGTAATGATGTATGCGCAAGGTGACAATGATATATATATATATATGGCGCATGATATGATATATATATATATATATATACATCATATCATATCATATATATGATGGCGCAGAACGTCTGACATTGTAGTACCAATATGTTTTTTCAATTCAGATAAATATATAGTCTATTTCAATTTTAAGTTGTACATGATAGATTGCCAAATTTAGTTTCGTTTCTTCTCTGGCTGAATAATAATATTAAATCGCGTTATAGGTCATTTTCAAGCGTGAGTTTGTTTAGCATTTATTAGGGTAATCTGGAAACATAAGTGAGGTTTAGAGTCTCCCCCACAAACTCGAACTTGCCCATACGAAAGTATAATTTCAAATTCAGCGACATGACATACGATGACGCCATTTGGTTATTAAAATGTTTCAAGTTGGGTTTCGAGAACACATAGTACTTTGCATACATGAAATATATGAAACAAAATTAGAGAGGAATCGGGAATTCTATTGTTCAAATATATCACCCAAAGAATCGATGAATATTTACTTTACACAAAACGCCAACCTCGTCTACTATTATATTGAAAAGTCGGCTTATTCACAATAAGTGACTTTTTGCCTATTTTATAGTAATTACAGTGAAGTCTGTTTTATTTCCTAATATCTGAAATCAATATGAATAGTTAATAGGATTCTGTCACATTTCCATTTAAGATCAAACAGTTCCAGCGTAATGGTTGTCGAAGACACTAAAGGTAAATTCTCTACCTTTTACGATGTACCAGAGTTCACACCATGGTCTCAAAATTAGAAGCTCCCCCGTCCAATTTCACTCACCCTCCATGATCAAAAAAGCTTTCTTCAATATCCGTGACGCGAAACTGCAAAATGTCGCTCCAAATTTGTGCTAGTGAGTTCTCTGTTTCCGTTTTAGGCAGATCACTTTCGTCGTCGTCTCCTTCCATTGTTTTTTCGCAACTTTCTGGTGTTGAAGTCTTGTCGAAAACAGACGGTAGAGCTTTCTTATTCAGCTTTCCAGTTGCCGCTACCATTGGAATTCTGATAAAAAGAATCGTATATACTGTATATCAAATAAGGTTCTTTAAGGCTGAATTTAAATTAGTAGGTCCCACAAAAGAAAGGATATTAAGCTTTAATGCGTTTTCTGCAAAATATCTTGAATCAATTCAAATACTATAAGTTTTTAATTACCCCGTTATCCCCAATTATAACGATCTTTGAGTGCACTATCACGACTATTTGCAAGACTCAATTTTTCAAACTGATTTACTAGGGTTGGATTATTTGGGTGGATTAGCTTTCGACCAGAAAATATCGGGAGTCAAAATCGGCCTGGGCGGTACCGGAAAATACGGTAATGAAAATGCATAACCCGTACTTTCATGTTACCCATTTCATAGAAAGTTTGCCTTCTGTAGACTTCAAATTTTCAGGTTAACAATTGAATTGATATTAGAAGATGAAACGAGGACCTTTACAGTTGCGTAATTTGGACTCAACACTTAGAATTAAAAAAAAATGAAGAACATACTAGGATGAAATTTTGAAGCTGCCACATCTACAAAAATTTCCTGTCGCGTCCGCAAAGTTTCTTGTCAAATAATATTTCAACGCACAAGTGGTAAAATTAGACACCAAGGAAGGAATTTTGCTCTTTTTATATATATATCGTGAGCACTTCGCATTGAGTAGCAGTAGACATATTGTGTAGCACAAATATTAATTCACTTTTTTATGCTAAATCACTTGAACTGTACAAAAATGGGAATGCTGCTTGCGCATTACATTGGAAAGCAGTCCATTAGAGATTCAATAAATAATATAGTATTCATGGAGAGGGAGGGTTCCAAAATAGGTAAAGGGGGGAAGTCAATGAAAAAGGTTGGGAATCACAGACCTATAGGAAAATTAAAATGCGTACTATCAACAGATAAGATGGTGATAAGAGTATTCTGAAGTGGGAGACTGAGTGGAATTGGTCGACCCAAAGCCTTAAAAATTGGTTTTCATTGTTTCTTGTTTTTAATTCCCATAAACAAATTTATTTTTTTCCTCCACTAGTTGGGATAGATTTTAAAGAAAAAATCGCATGTAAATTATTTTGGCTGCTACCCCTTCGGGGGTCGTGATCCCCAAGTTGGAAACCACTGGTCTACATATTCTAAGACAGCGTTTAATTTAATTGTGTTCATGGCTCGCGGTTGCGTCGACTTATGACAAGATGAAAGCATTAGTTCTTCAAAATGCCACGAAAAGTAGCGAACATATTGATGTGAGAATATATGGCCCGATTATATTTAGTTTTGTTAAATATTTTTTGCGATCTTGAGAATTTGTTATCTGCTTTAAATTTCCAGAAAGTACAACTTGATTTAGTACTTATTAAAAACGTAATTAAAGTATATTAGTAAATCAGAAAAAAATATTCATTGCCTTGCTTTTATATTAACTTAATTGAGATCATTATAATATGCGGTTGTGTTGACGAAATAAAAGCAATACTACTCAGAAAATACCATGACAATCCGTGGACACAAAAATGCGTGGTAAAGTGTCGGATTATATTTTATTTTGATACGTATTTTTATGAATTCGACAAATCTGAGCTGTTCGTACAACACTTATGGGATATGGCGCTCCAGTCCTGTACGTCCCAATGTGGAGGCAGTAAAGCAAAGAATCCTAAGGGAAAATGCCTTGGTAGCACCCGAAATTTTGCGATTTGCATTGTCTAAAAAGCGATTTTAATCGGTAGCGGACCATCATAAAGCAAAACTTATGGTGTTTTACGTTTTATTTTTTGTATTTCCGCTTTTTCATATGAAAAATTTAGGTTGCCACCATTGACACCAGAAAAAAAATTATTCCTCGCTGCTCGAGCTCGCGAGAAACGCCACTTAGCTATCCACGCGTGTGCCGACTAGTGTTTCGTCGGGAATCCGCAAGTGAGTTGTGAAATCCAATCGTTTGATTAAGCGACGCGCAAGTTACCTGTCGCTTCACCTGTTACCAAATTTTCGAATAGTAAATTGCTATTCTAATAGTTGAATTTTCGAATACAGTATATATGCCCAGTCCTACTCAGTAACCAGTAATTATTGACTCAATTAATGTTATGTGAATAAACATGCTTTTTATGTTTTATGTAAATTTTAACGTAAATCGTAACTTGGCTGATGGTTAAGTTTCGCAAAAGCGTTTGCGACCCGCAGTGAATTTCTGGCTCGCTGCGGACTCATTCAAATGCTCCGCGGACTCATTTGAGACCGCGGACTCGGGTTGGGAAACACTGGTCTAAGACAACGTTTCTCAGGCACACTGTGAATGAGCGCATGAATGTTGGTGGTCTGCGGAATAGGACTCGATAATTACTATAACAGCAAAAATGAGTGCCCATCAGTCCTATCCAAATCATAACAAAAGTTGAAAATTTGTCTTCTCGCCATTCGTATTACTGGTCGATCCTGAGCGAAGAGGGTAAAATAAGCGTGTCGTCGTCGTTAGAGGCAAAATATGAGGGTGAGAGAACGATCGGTAATATACATTGGGTTTTCACCAATGACGCGTTGTATTTGATCGACATCTTACATGCGTATTGGGTTGCAACAAAAGAGCTTACAGGGATCCATCATTGTATTTGTAAACGTGGAATGTGAATGAGCCCAATCGATAGCAGGGCGTCACCGCCCGCCTTTGAACAGATATTAATTGGCTAGGGTTGAGACCAGACAAAAATTCGGCCTTTTTCGCATTTTCATAACCAGGATCGGCCATATATATTCTCGAACTTGGTTTCAATATTGTCTGCTGATGGTATAAAATTTGAAAACACCTAAAATATTACGTGATAAAGGTGCGGAAGTAAAACTATATGTAAGTGTGCCCTCAATTTGATCTTCTAGTAATCTGGCAGTTGGAAAGAATATGTCAAGAAAGAATTTTTACTCAGGTAACAGCAATTTCGAAGCATTCGAAACTTCACATAAACTTACTTTTTCAAGAAAACGAAGTAAGATGGAATCATGTATGCTGGCAGTTTATTCTTGAGCTCTGTGCGTATTTGCTTTTTATTGGCTCCGGTTTGAGGAACGATGTATGCAACTAGTTGTTTATCATCTCCTTCTTCTCCTTTCGTCACAACTACACAAGCGTTTACCACCGAAATTTGAAGCAACGCTGCTTCCACTGCCTTGATGGAAGGATAACGTACGATAAAATTAGTAACAGAGGTCAAAATAGGCAAAATCAGATACAGTCGTTTTTTTTCAAATATGCTTATGTTTGTATGCAGAACAAACAGAATCAATAATGCAAAACTGACAAAAAGGGTGCTATATTGCTGCTGAGCCAAAATTATGTTTCGTTCATCAAATAAATATTGACGCCTCGTCATATGACTAACTTGTGTTTCTACACTGTATCCTCTTATTTTCACCATCGTGTCACATCTTCCACATATTTCTAAGATTTTATTGGGCAGCATCAATCCCCAGTCTCCAGAACGATATACTCTCGTTGTAGAACCGTTTTGGGGCAAGTCAATGAATCGCTCTGCGTTTAGTTTAGGACGATTTAAATATCCTCTGGCCAAAGTAGGTCCGCCAACATAGATCTGAAAATGAATGACAATGTCTAATTATTGTATGCTTCGTTTAATAAGGATAGATATAGACGGCCACAAATATTTTCAAGTTCTTCCGAGACATGATGCAATCATATAATTGCATTTTTAAAATCATCCATTTTTAGCGGGTTAGATACAGTCAAATATATACGGTCAACTCATATTTTCATATGTGTTTTATATATCATTGCGCTTTTTTCAATTTGTAAGCTATCGCGGGAGTGCTACAAATACGCATGCTTTGCATTTGATTAGTGTGTGGTTGCGTTATTTCCTTTACAACCAATACATCAGAAGTGTTGTTATAAAGTAGATAAATATATTGAATCAGCATATCGATGTTCTATGTACTTTTGGCTCAATTCAAGATTACCAATTGTTTACCTCTCCAGTAACGCCCGTCGGCTGAATATTCAATTCCTCGTCGAGAATATATATGTGTACACCAGGCAGCACTTTACCAACTGGAGCAAATTTTCTTTTGGCCAACGCTTCCACGTCGCTCGTTTGCTCTTTAATATCTATCCAATATTGGCTCAAGTCAGCTGCTGCGACATCATGACATTCTGCCACAAGACAAAAATATCAACACTTTGCTTCTAAATTTTCTTTCTTCAATTAAAACAGGTGGTATTACGTAAAATGACAACAACAGAAAACATAAATTTCTATTCCAATACAAAGCCACCAATCGCTCAACCTCATTCGAAACAACATAAAAATAGCAGGTTTTTTCCTCAAGTCATAAGTTTCCTTAAAGTCATAAGTTCACAATGACTCTAACGATTCCCAATTATCATATCATCGAATCGACCACATTCGCCATTAGTATTTGCCACGTGAGCGCCACTGACATCATTGTAATCACAGTCTCCATTTGCAAGACTGGAGATAACACCACCCATGTTTCTTTTGTCCCGCGTACCAACTACCAAATTGCCCACCCTTCGGACCAAACTGGCACTTATAGCACTTTCACATCTTCCACTATCGGAATAACCTTGGCATACGATTATCCTGATTCTCTTTGGAGTTGTACACTCAGTAAAAATGGTGACCGTACATTTGAACCCATGTACATTTGAACCCATGCGTATATCCACGGGTTCAATCTATATGCGGGTGCTAAAACCCATGGGTTAGGGTTAGTATGGGTTTAATTATCCGTGAAACAAAAAAAAATCCATAGGTGCAATAGCATACAGGTGCAATTGTCATGGGTTCAAATGTACGTGGGTTCAAATTTAATGGAACCAGTAAAAATATGTATAAATACTGACCTGTGGCATTATAATAATTTAATAATCGCGCGGACGGGAATGATTCCACGCATCTACCAAGCAACGACATAGTCACAACTTCCCCAGTAAACCAGATTATTCTGAAAAAGAAAGGTAAACATCGTAAAGTAAAAGATTGGTTCTCGATAATTCCATTTTCATTTGCTAGTTTGACAAGTACCAAAATCTTGGTTTCATGTATTACAAGTTAGGTAAGTTTTATGCTGCATTGGTAAGATTTAGATCATCCCAGATAAATAGTAACGCGGTATATATTAGCTTCTACTTATTTAAGGTCTCGGTGAGCGCAAAGGTGTGGGCCGCATCAAAATACGATATTTTTATTAATATCATACCTTAGGCTTGAAAAATCATTCAAATCTACACCATCAGTATTGATTACCGTTTCCAACAGGGAAGGCGTGACAACTATTCGAGTTATTGAATGTTTTTTAACAAATTTGGATAAAAGCACCGGATCATAAATAACTTCATCTGGAATGATATACATGGGAATGCCCTGAAAAAATATAAATCATTGCTACAAAATACAGTATTTGGTGAACGAATAAAAGAACCCTGGATTGAGCTTTGCGTGCCAAATTTACCAAAATATTTTTCATTTTATACTCAAAATTTAGCAAATTATTAATCATTTAATTAAAAGGCAACTGCTGTGATATTTTTACTGATAGAAAGTTTCAGGCCGAAGCAAATTGTATACTGTATTTATATAGTTAGGAGTAACCAGCACACCAATATAAGATCAGTACTACAACGACCCCATACAAATCAGACATTTCTTCATGATACGCAGGAACCCAAATGACTATTTCAATATGCATTGCGTGGTATTCGAGTGAATGAGCGGTAATTTCATTGTACTTAGTCGCCACACTCAGTAACATTTACCACCTATAGCGTTACTCATACCTTTAGCAATGGACGTAACAATTCCCAAACAAAGAAAATGTTGCAGGCCACCCTCTCATTTTCTGCAAACGGATATGCTAAATGTCTCCAAGTGTATGAAAATACCGATCCTCGATGTGGACACATGATCCCTTGAATTATAGAATAGCCTACATTATTTTCTTGACAAAAATGACCTCTCCAACATAAAACAAACAACAATTTTCAATTCTTTGAAATATTGTGATAATTGTAACGGGAATTTTCTATCTTATAATCTCTTCAAAAACAATTTCACCTTTCGGCTTTCCTGTGGTGCCCGAAGAATAACACACATATGCCAGATCGTTCAAATCAGCTTGCTGCAGTATACAATCGCCTGCTGGTTCTTTGAATTCCGATTTCATGTCCTTTTCCCAATCACCAGTTAGATTAACAATATTCTGATTTTCCAATATAATATCTGGAAGTTTAGAAAGAATATAGGATCTAAACTTGCCATTGCGTCTTCTAACTAAACACACAACATTGGATTTTTGTGATATAAATTCTGTTTGTTTGGAAATTTTCATGAAGAACTTATAACATCTTAGGCAATTTATCACTCCAAATCGTATCCCAGATTTAACCAGTAATGAATTTATGAGTTAATCATTATACTCATAAGCTTACCTGCCGTATCCTGTGACATACTTTTTATGACTTTACCTTGCAAGTCCCCGTTCCAACTTGTGTTTGTTATAACACTGCTTGGATTAGCATCCATGAATATGTCTTTCAATAGATTGATAGGATATGTCACATCCAACGGCATGTAGGCAGCTCCTGTTATAAGTTAGAGTAGGTTTATGATAACTCTTCACCCATATCATCTATTAAGGGTATTGATGTCGCTTTGCAATCATTCCCACCGCCCATGTTATTTCCCACGATAATGTTACTGCTACATATATAATGATAGATCAAAAGAAGGTACTAACTAGCTAGAGTGGTTCTCAACCTTTTTTCTTTCGTGGCCCACTTTCGTTTCATGAAAATTCTGTGGCCCACTAACTTTCTCATGCAAGGGAAAAACTACAAGAAAAACGAGACTTTTGTTTGCAAAAATAAATTCTTTCATTTTAAAATTAGAATGAAAAGCAGCAGCATCATTCATTGCTACCACCATAAAAATTTGACTATAATGACACAAAAGAAACTAAACTTTTCAATAACCGTAGTAATTTTTAATAGGCTTGTGGTCCACTTGAAAAGACTCTATGGCCCAGCAGTGGGCCATGGCCCACTGGTTGAGAACCAGTGAGCTAGACAAAGCGACGAAAAAATAAATTAGAGATTTTCCTAGGTTTTCGACCCTTGCAGCTTGCTTATCAGACTGATCGCAGGATCTGAAATTTGTATTAGCAAAAATCTGTGTATTATAAAGTGGCTTTTGCACATTCATTTTACGTAATGAATGAATTTAAAATTTCAGCTATAATTTCTATAACCAATTCTATCATTTATTTCTTTAATTAATTAGTATTTCCTGAGCCACCTAAACTTAATTTTAGATTTGAGTTACATTACCTGATTTAAGTATAGATATGTAGGCGATCACATACTCCAAACATTTTCCCATATATATTCCTACGACACCATCTTTTCGCGCACCGTTTGAAATTAATTTCTGAGCTAAGATGTCAGTTTTTCTGTCAAGTTCAGCAAAAGTAATTTCTGTTTCCGCAAAAACTACTGCTAGTTTGGTGGGAGTGAGTTGGCATTGTCTTTTGAATATATCGTGTAAATATCCCAAGTCTTCAAACCTTGAAAATGGAGTTCAAAACAAATGAAAATGTAATTGACTCGTAAACGTGGTCGTGAGATTTCTTATATTACATAGTCTACTTGTAAATTCAAATTACTATAGTTTCTAGGTTCATTATTATGTGCACAGGTTGTTCGCCTAGATTTAAAAAATTAAATCATAATAAGGCGTCACGTTGTAGAAAGTGCTTTTTGGACGAAATTATTTGAAATGAATAATTCGTTACACTAAATAAAATAATATGTCAAATAACTTACTCTTTTAATTTGTCCATCTTTTATATTACGGCGATTTTTTTAGAACACTTTGTGCAGAAATTCAAAAAACTGGAGTTTCTCTATAATCGTAAATATTGAGTGAAAACTGAAGTAAGAAAAAACCAAAGCAGGAAAGATTTTATTAGAAATAAACCACTTAACGTCATATTTGATATTTCAAAATGCTATGGCAGAAATATTTATTTTAATGATTGCTATATAAAATTAATAACTATTATAGCTCATGTGTCACCGTTTAGCGGTAACAATTGTCACAATCAAACTATGTTACTTTGTTCACTGCTTTTCTAAGCGCTGTGTTTAGTTATGTGTTTGGCGCCGAAGTCCAAGGTCAAAATCTAGCCTAGTTGGAAAAGAGAAAGTTTTTAAAACAATAAACCATTGAATTTTTAAGCAGTAAATACATATATCAAGACAATTTATTCCCATATTCTTCTTCATTTAGTTATGTTGTTGCTGTATACATGTACGGCGTCGCGTCAAAAATAATGCACATTCCAGCGAAATCGCTGCATACGACTGGTATAAACGTCGCCGTAAATCACAGAAGAAAGGCTTGATTCCAACTAAAAAGATAATATTAGTTCAGATAACATGCACGAAGCGACTGCACGACGCAGACGGAATTTTATGTAATAAAATTGGGAGCAAATTATTCCTCGGAATAAAAATGATATAGTGTCCTTAAATCATTTAACGTAGCCCAAACTTTCTGTTCGTGCGTCGACAAATTTTCTGGAAAAAAAACTCACGGCGCACTTGAACGAAAAAAATGTTGTTTTTAAATAAAACTCAAATTTGTGATAGCTAATGTGTAGCCTACGTTATGCCTTTTAAAGTTTGTAAACATGTAGGCCTAAAGAAATGCCTGAATTTTCTCTGAAAACATAGACTTCCTTCAAAATAGGAAATAATGAAATATTTATTTTAAATACAATATGTAATCATATTTTAGTTATGTTTAACACAATTCTGTTCATTTTCGCGGTGCCCCCTTTGGGAACCGCTGATTTAACGTATTGTTCTGGCGAATGGCAGTACACACACTTGTACACTGTATATTCATCCCCACTCCTAACTGAAAGTAAATTAATTAAAATAAACTCAAACATTATTTGAATTATTTTCAAAATAACTATAATGATACAAATGGACTAGTGTGAACTATCCCAATTGGAATCTATATTCTCATCTGAAATACAAATCAAAAATATCCGAACACATTAATTCTAATAATATATTATATATAGAGTTTTATCACCATAAGCATCTGAAATTCTTGGCAGTAGGAAAAAATTATTGTTCTAATATGGATCCTGATTTTGCAGTGAGTCTTCTTTGAAATGCCTGGATGCCTTCATGCCATAAAGTTAAAATGGTGTTCTCACTACAATACTGTAGAGCTGCGCTCTATTTGCCATAACCTAGGTAAGGATATACGAAGGTTATATTTAATTCAAACCGCCCTATTCAAGTCATGGATTGATTATTTTAAACGATATTTATTATCATCTTAAAGATATAACTATACATATATAGAACTCTGACCCCTGTTTTGGAGTAATTAAAATCACTATATTTAATTCTAATTCTACTGGGAGATTAAGTGCATTTTTTTTATAGAGCAACTCTAGCATAAAGCTAGCTCATGTACCTCCTTCCTTGTTTCAAGTGTACAGTAAATGGGAACGTTCCCGAAGTCTGGTGTAAATCCGGAGCATATCAGCTACTTTTTCAAAGCATAAAGAAGACTGACAGGCAATGATTAATCAACAACGGTTCGGTTGATAATCCCGATTGATTAATCTGCAGAAACCAGGTTACCGGAACTACCAGTCTTAGTTAATTTTGACGCTGCGCGTCTCATCTTCCAGCCTAGGGGGAATTTCAGCGTCCTAGCAGGAGAGGACATTTTACTTTGTGTTTGCGTTGCTACCGATCGCCTGAACAATATTACAAAACCTCTTCCAAGGCATATAACATTCTTGACAGATGGCTTTCAAGTTTCGAACCATCCAAATATGAAGTATTGGTTCCATCATAACAGTGGTAAATATTAATTACCACATATTTGTACATCGGTAGTATGATAATAACTTGATAACTGACTTCTTAGCCTCTGAAAATACAACAACATCTGTACATGTCAAAACATGTAATTTTGAAATGAAATGATGACTTCCGTGTCATACAGCAGCACAAAGACAAAATGTGTCATGCATACATAAATAATATATATAACAAGAAAAATATTCTCTATAAAATACATAACTGTAAAGGTAGGACAAACGTATTTATTCAATATTTTCAGCCTAATAGTCTAGCAATATAAAGTAGAAGCACCTTTCAAAATAATGATCAAAATAGACCTACCATGAAAGAAGCAGCTTTAAAACCGAAATTTAAATTTTAAAATCAAAGTTCAGATAATTGAATATCAATGAAAACAAGTCAAAATGAATATCGGATTACAAAAATAGAAAAAGCTTTTCACAAGAATATTAGATTATCTAAATTTGAACCAGCAAAAATTCAGAACATAAAGTTCATGATATTCATATAATTTAAAGATATAGTTTTGATTTTTGACTTCACTGATCACACATGATATTTTATCACGCAACTTCTATATTTATCAAACAATTACTTAATCTTCTTAATGATTTTCTCATCAGTACCTGGAACGGAAATAAAATGATTATGATTCACTGAACAAAATAGCATAACTAATATGAAACGATTTAGTTGTTGAACATTGCTATCCATTTGAGAGGTTATAACTGATGTTTCATTGGATATTGAATGATTGTAGTCAAATATTAATTTGCCTTATACTATGAGGCTGATATTTCAGAAAACATTTCTGGAATGAAAGATATTAACATGGCTTATTTAAGCAGCATGAAAATTGAAAAAAAAAATGTGACATCGCATTTGCTCAAACTCAATGCAATATTAATCATATAGTAACAAATAATGATTAGATCATTCAAAAATCATACTATTTCAGAATTACTAGTCCCAACCTTATTTTGACTTTTGTCGATACATAATTCTGAAATATCTTGAATAATATGTACGAATATGTCCAAAATATAAAGAAATAAGGTAATACCTTCTACATATTCTCTCGCTATGTATTTCAACGCTTCATCAATTAGAATTACAGGCAGAGATATATTGAGTACCATTCGCCACTCAGCCCAGTTCAATGGGCAGATTTGGAAAACCATCTGTGTGTATTAAAATTATATAAAAAATGTTACAAAACTGATTAAATAGCCAAATAAGAACAAGCAAATTGCTTCCATTTCGTCTTATGAGCGGAAATAATGTTGATGCTAAGATGAAAAAAACAGGAACACAAGAAACATGGTACGCTGCAACTACAATATATGTCGAAACAAAAATGGCAGTTTCAGCAAAGCCATTAAGGTTTTGATCGTCTTGAAATGCGTTGCATGAATCACCAAATAATGCTATACCAATGTACTCAAAATCAATATTAACAACTGCTCAAAGTAGTCAGGTATATCTTTGGTTCTGATAATCCCATAACCCAGTACCTACTTATCCCAGACTTTCATCCGAGTGAAAATGTATTGTCATGCTGAAGATAAGTTGTAGTCTGAGGACCTAAAGTTACTCACCGGCAAAGGATCAACATGTAAAATCATAAAATGTAGAGCCATGGACAAAATGATAGCTCCTATCAACCACATATTTTGCCAAGGAGGCATTTTCAACAACGACTGGTTCTCAGATACACTGAAAAACATCAGTACAGATAATAATTCGAAAAGTGAGCATTGGAAAATATCTTATATTAAATTCCATCATTTTTTCCTCACACTACTTATATTAATATTGGGTTACGACTTAAGATTATCTTGAATTCACAAAGCCCTTACAATGAACATGAAATGCTGACCCTCATGTTGGTCTTGTATAGTTGAATTTAGTTACTTTTTTTTGAGGCAAAAAATGGAATGAATTAAAGAAATCTATTATCGGTAATTATTAGGGATGGGACGAGTCCGGCATTACAAAGATTCGACGAATCCGAGTAATAGGTCAAGGACTCGAATCGAATCTGCCGAGTCTGTGACGTCATAATGGAAAAGCACAAAAACGTGTTTTTGACCATGCTACACCATCGTGCGCTCACAAACATACGTCGTAGCTCATATTTTTTGCCTAATGGTTCCGCAGATAGCTGTTGAGTCATTTTAAATATATATTTTTCCCTTTTTAGGCGGCCATAATACAAACGTAAACGTGGTCAATGTGCGCCTTGGCTGTGAACTGGATTTCCAGCCCACCTTGCGTCAATTCTGGGCGGCTATTCAGAAATTCTTACATGTCAACATGAACAATAAAAAGCTTTCGACTACAATGCTTTCCCATAATTCCAAATATTTCTAGCCGTAAATTTACTATGTCATGTGCGCATATGGTAGAGAAATGCCACCCGTCGTCAATACAATGTAGTACATCTACTTGCAATTTAGTAGTTCATGTAAACGTTCTAAAACTCTCCATCCTTTCCATTGCCTTTTTAGCGAAAGGATTCCACGCAATAAACTCGATTTAAAAGAGGTATTGATGAGATTCCCTATTGGGTTGATCCAGAACATGTTTCATTTTTACGCAAATCAAAAACTCAAAAATATTGCAATAACACATATTTTATTGTGTACCACATGTATACCAAAAATAATAGATAGTTTAAAGGCGACTGGCGCAACATCATTGTTATGAGCGATCAATAGTTTTAACTGTCATTATATTATCTGGATATCTGTCGTCGTTTTATTAGGAGTGTTTATATTGCACACGAAGGATATTGTTACAGATCTAACCTTGAATTTTACTAGTTAAGGTATGTAGTGGGATTTATAGAGGCAAAAGTACAAACATAGGCGTAAATTAGTAAAAACAGAATTGATTATGGATGGACTCGGTAAAAACGACGTGGACTCGAAATCGAATCCGATTCCAAAAAATGCCTGGATTCGACTCGAATCCGAGTCCGGATCCGAATCCCGGCCCATCCCTAGTAATTATAGTCTGGATTTGGTGGACACAGATCTGTTTTTTAGTCAGTACAGATCCAAATGCATGAATAATTATTGTCAAGAGCCCTATACTTGGCAGAATACAAGTTAACAACTTGGGTCACAATTACCAAGTTTGTAATAGTACTCACCTGTTCAGGGCATTGCAAAGTTCAATTGTAACAAGAACAGACAAAGCCATCGTCATTGGATGAGGATCCTCAAATATTTTACAATCAATTCCCTTGAAATTTTCCGAATCAGTGGAACATGTCATGTAATGAGTCTGAGAAAATTATCATAATATTGGAATTGATAGCATGTGGCATCTTCATACTATATTGAAACACCATGACACCACAAAAAAGAAATATCTATCTCAGTTGAAATACTGCAAAATAAAAATATGATGGATGCCAAGCTTACAAAAACATGCATTGAAAAACTGACTATAGTGATTGCAGTTTAGATAAAATGTCAACTATTCCGTTGACATGATTCATATTATCAATGATCATGAAGTTAATTAGCAAAAAAGAGCAACAAATACAATCCATGGATCATACATTTCATTGTTAACAGTTTTTGGTAATATAGCGATAATATTGTTCGGCAGGAAAATCTTAAAAACTATTCACTTTCTATTGCAAATAATTCTGTAAAGTTGAAAAATGACGGCAGAGAACTCATAAGCTACATACAATGTTATTAATACCATAAACTTAACACTTAATATGTTAATAGTTACGTGAGATTCCTTCGAAGAATGAACATATTCATTAATACTAACCAGTTGCCACCATGACACTGTGGGTCCATTTTCTGCAAACATGAACCACCAAGAAGCCGCCGCAACAGTCCCAAATCCAACATAGACTGACATAATGAAAAATGCAAGGAATGAATAAAAGCAACATGCAAAATGAAAATAAGCATGGTGTTGTCACTTCTCCATAAACAGCAGATTTGAATATCTTTAGTTTTTATTATTTGCGCCCCAAGCAATTTTCGATAACCTATTTTAATGAAAGTAAAAACATTCTCAGCAGCTACATTTTAAGCAAGCATAAGTTTCTATATTAATGAACAATGCAACTCTATGAAAAATTAAGCTATGAACGTCATTCTTCACTTCACTGTTTATTCCAAAACACGATTTTGATGGCTATGAAATGGTAGTTTCAATCTATTTGAAATCCATTTGTAGATAAATACTCTTAGTTTTGTGAAAATTCAAAAATTAAGCTTTTTTTGGTGTCAGATGAACTGATTAAATAAGCTTAATCATCCAAAACTGTTATGTATATGTACCAAGACCAATGCAAAAAGTTATTTAAAAATGTATTTAAATTGAGTAATTTATTCAGTTTTGGTCATTCATAAATACACAGCATTCAGTTGAATTATTAGAACTTGCAGAATATCTCAGCAAACAATCAATCTATGAGTTAGCAGACATGCTCCAACCCTTACCAACTGCCAGTAAGTCATATGAGGACCAGACTCAGCTGAAAGAAACCACCATGATGCAGCACCGACAGTGGCACAGCCGACATAAACTAAGAGAAAAGTGTGTTTTCGATTACACAATCAGTGAATTTGGAATCTAATATTACAAAATACAATATTTAAATATGAAATAAGCAATATCCTATTCATTTGAATATTTTTTGTATACTTTCCAAAATTTACGAAGGTTATTTTCACCAAAATCACAGGGGCAAATTGTCACATGATTTCATCAACTTTGGCACTTACTTCCAATGACACAATATCTGAACAAGAGCCAACCGCTAATGAGGGTATCTTTGGTAGATCGAGGTTTTTTATCCATGATGTCCAGATCGGGAGGATTAAAGCTTAGTGCAGTTGCAGGCAGACCATCAGTAACAAGATTGACCCATAAAAGTTGCACAGGTATAAGGGCTTCTGGAACACCAAGAGCAGCAGCAAGAAAGATGCTGAAAAGAGAAAAGAATTGCAATGAACCGCTCATAATCTTGCAAAACAAAGTATGCATGGGAACCTCAGCCCTTATAAATCCAGGTTTCACATTTAGTCATGGCAAGAAAAGGGCTCACAATCATTGGTTTCAAAGAATTATGTTGTCAAAAGCACGTGTCAACCCAGGAAAGAAAATAACAAGCTTTCCCAAGTATATTCTTGACAATAAGAGGTGCTGACTAATTGAAAGAGCATAAAATATAGCAAGTCAAAGGACCCATGAGATGCAAAAGAAGTGTGATTAATTACATGAGTTTTATTAGCAACTATGTCTTTGGTAAACACCATTGCAGTTTTTTGCTCCATAAGTTGTCAAATGAATTTCTAATTGAGCTCAAATAAGAAAATAAATATCTAACCGAACATAAGTATATTACTCACCATACAACCTCACCAATATTAGATGAAATAAGATATCTAATAAACTGCTTCATATTATTATAAATTGCTCGGCCTTCCTCCACAGCTGATACAATAGATGAGAAGTTATCATCAGCAAGAACCATTTCTGAAGCGGTTTTTGCAACAGCAGTCCCACTACCCATTGCAATTCCAATTTCAGCTTTTTTTAATGCAGGAGCATCATTCACACCATCACCAGTCTGAGAAATAAAAAATCAGTATTAATAATAGTATAAGATGCATCTTGGTAAGTATGCAGTATTTTTACCTGGAATAGAAATATATAGAAAGTGACTGAAGTATTATTTTTGTATTAAAGCAGTAGCATTAAACTGGGTGATATCAAGATGTATTTATGAACAATTTGTAAACACAGGCACATTATGCCATTTTCCGTTCTAAAGTTACAATCCTATATTGTTCAAAAACTGTTTTAAAACTTTGTGGGCTCTTACAGGTTGAAAAACTTCTCAGTGATCACACACACAACCGGCTGGACATGGACATGTTAAGAATTTATAACTGAGTAACGTATTGAAATAAACTTACCATGGCAGTGACATCCCCATTTGCTTGCAGATATTCAACGATTTTACTTTTGTGAGCAGGCTCAACACGAGCAAACAATCTAGCTCTAAGACAAGCCTGTCTTTGTTCTTCTGAAGTTAAATCATCAAATTCTCGTCCGGTGAATGAAAGGCCCTCTGTGTTTTCATGTTCATCAAAAACCCCAATGCGACGACAGATTGCCTCTGCTGTTGCTTTGTTGTCACCAGTTATGACAATTACTCGAATTCCCGCACTTCTGCATTGCTGGATAGCATCGAAAACTTCCACACGAGGTGGGTCGAGCATACCAACAATACCGACAAATGTCATATAAGACTGGAAAAGAAAAGTATTAAACTGATGTTCATTTCTGTATATAAAAAAAAAACTAAACTAACATAGAAACCAGAATTCTGCATAAAAATTTTTACACCGAGGTTTTTGGTTTGGTATATTCAATGCAAATAGTCTGCTGTTGGAGAAATTAGACCATTAACATGGTCAGGCTGCAAGCATGAATGTATTAGGTAATAATAAACAGTATTAGGAAACAGTAATCAGTCCGAACCCCACATTATCATCACCTCACAGGTCGAACAAATAGACTATTACAAATTCATTACAATCCGGTAATAATCCATACTTCATAATTAATAAATTTTGTGGAGTCGACAAGATCCATGTCCTTTGGATCCACAGGGTCATCAATAGTTGCCAGTGCAAGGCAGCGAAGTGTGTCACGTCCAGTACCATATTCAGCCACAAGCTGTAGTATATGATCTTTTAATCCGGGAGTCATTGGTTGACGTTTCTTTCCGATTCGTACATAAGCACAACGATCAAGCATACCTATCAAATTTAGTGTTCATAAATTTTTAAATTTAATTAACATAGTAGTAGAACAATATTGTAAATGTACATCATCATGATTTTCTGATCATTTCATAATGACAAAAGTGTTGGAGCAATCAAATAATTGACTGAGAGGAGTTTTTGTTCATTTGAGTGTTCAGAAATACTCAGCTCAGTGTGCTTCAGTGTTTTAAAATGTGGGTACCGTATACAGTGGCGCAACCAGCGGGGATGGGGGTGGGGGGTGGGGGGGTTACGGGGGTCGTGTCCCTCGTTTAAAATTCGTTTTTTTTTAATATTGTTCTACGTTCAAACAACGTCGTTCTACGGTCATAACAATCCGGTGAAAACATTTTCCAGTGCTTTATCACCTCGACGTAATTTAACACCGCCCGACTACAATTATACCTTTTTGCTGTTAGTTACGTAATAATCGCTATCCCCGCGTATATGTTTGTATTCGAAAATGAGATATGTTGCCTCAAAAAAGTAGAAATCGCGCTTCGCTAACCTAAGATTTACTATATATGAAAGGCCGAAACCGAAAACGCCGTACACATCCTACCGCCCTCGTCCACGTTTTGATTTCAAAACATTTCACAATTATTTCATTTTTTATCGCAATCGAAAGCAGCCATGTGTGGGACGGCATTAACTAACAGTCGTCGCGAAAGGTTTTCAATAAACTCCGACTTGAAGTGCTTAGACGTCGAGGACGTTTTTGTTTGAAAATTTTTTTACATTTGTTATCGTATATTTCAATTTAGTCAAGATATGTTGTGCGCCTCGGCAATAAACTTAAAAGCAAATCCTGCTCTAATTAATTTTTTAAAATTTCTTAATTTCTTGCAATCTATAAAATAGCTTCTAAATATTATTTGGTTTCTGTCGGAGATTTTATCGTTATCCCGACGTCTTTGATAACGATATCGTTCATTTCAAGTTGGAGGTATTGATTTATAATCAAAAAATTATAACACATAACATGAAAAATTTAAATCAACGCCGACTCAAAAAGTAAAACACGTTTTTCCATCTTTATTCTCCATTATTGGCGGACGGAAATTTGGGAATCTGGTGTAACTAATTTGATTATGATGACGATGGTAAACAAAAGTACACAAACATACCATACCGTTCTCAGTTTTTAGTCGTTATTTCTCTGTCCTTTCTTCTTTCTAAGTGTATATTAAGACCATAAAACGTGTTTTATTTTTGAACTCTGTGCTGATTTGAATATTTCATGTCGGCTGTTATGTATTTTTGTTTGGTAATGAATACCGCTAACTTAAACTGAACGATGTGTCATTAACGGCCGGATGCCGACGAAATCCGCGATAGATATTAATACTATTTAAGAGCTATTTTATACGCGCTAAATTACAAGAAATGAAAAAATTTCCTGTTATGTTCGGTCACTATCGAAACTGAGGATGAAACAACTAATTTAAGACACAATGTTGCCTAAACCATCTCGACTAAGTTAAATACACGATAAGAAATTATTTTCAAGTCAAAAACGTCCTCGAAGTCTTATAAGTTCTTCAAGTCGGCGTTTATCGAAATTCTTTCATGTCAGCTGTAATATATTGCCGAACCACACATGGACGACGACGCTAAGATATGTGCGCCATATTCGGGTTATTATAAACACGAAAAACAGTATTTGAAGTTTGCGATATTTGAATTTTAATTCGATTTGGTCATCCCCTGCATTAAATAGTCAGTTTTAGTTGTGTTTTCCAAAAATTAGTTGAAATCAAGTATTTTAATTGTCATTATGTCTTCGATGAGCTTCAGTTTAGTTTAGAATTTTTCTGGGGTTAGGGTCGGGAAAAGGTCCATTCGCAAGAAGTGCATTTTGTTTTTAGTCTTGACGAATTCACCCAACGAGCAAGGCGCGGCACGAGGGAAACACTGGAATTTATTCAAGCCGTGTTTCACTATCCACGAGGCGCAAAGCGAGGGAAACGTTGAAAATAATTAACAGCTTTTCGTTAGCAATTCACTGGAATGTAATGAACGGCGTTTTGCTACCCACGAGGTGCAGGACATAACGAAGCGCCGTTCATGAACGAGTGCAAGGTAAGCGAGAGGCTGGCATTCAATCGATGGCGTTTCCCTTTTAACCAGGAGCAATTTATCGTGTTTCAGCGGGGCGACACCTAGTGGCGTTGCGACTTACGTCGTGGTTGCACTGTGTAAATTCGGGTCGGACCAAACCCTTACCATTCACATGTACCCTCGGTCGTGTACTGTGGCTGTATCTTATCCCAGGCAAGTACCCCAAAGGTTGAGACTAAATGGCGTTATGGGGCAACAAAATGGAATGCCAACCAAATATGGTCTCCACCAATGATATTGGTTTGAAAGATCTGAACTTGGCATTAAACACTTGACTTTAGATGCAAGCTGTTCGCTTTTATAAATAATATATCCTGCAGAATGAAACTGTAAATTTTGAAATTTTGGAAAAGTTTACAGGTAAAATGAGCCAGCATACTCGAAGTCTCTACGCTTATCCTAGTTTATGATACAGATTTCAAAAAAGCAATGTCATGATCCTACCAATTCAATAGTTCAAATACTGTGTCGGTGTTGTGCAGTACCTACTGACACCCTTTATCATAATAACATATCTGTAAGCATGTCTTTGTGCATTAGTGTTCTCTTGTGAAACTTAAACAGTTGATGTTGCATCGAAAACCTTCTATTCTGCATGATAACATTTTTTGGTCATGCAAAACAATTACACAGTCAGTATACAATTAATGAAGGAAAAAAGATGATTCAAATAGATGACAGTTTCTTCTCTAAGGAAAAACATCTCACCTTCTGGAGCTCCCTTTACAAACATTTTTGGTCCAGTTCCCATAGTAGTGTCACATGGTACACAATAAACACTCATAGATTTGCGATCGCGAGAAAATTCAAGAGTAAACTTTTTTTCCATTAATTTTTTGATTTTCTAAATAGATATTTTATTTTTATTAACAACCCACAAGCATTGGTGACTGGGAAGAATACTTGAATCATGAGCAGAAGCAGACACAAATAAAAATAACATATTTCTTACTTCATTGCAGGCATTAGCTCTGTCATGCTTAGAATATCGTGACACATCTGTGTCGAAGACGTTGAGTTTTTCACATAAAACGGTCAAAGCGGTTTCAGTAGCTTCTCCAACTTTTTCATAAACTCCCTTTGCCTAAAATTCCAAAATTATGATATAAAAGATACAAATGCCGCATTTAGTGCATTATAACCCAATTGTAAGTTTTTCATAATTTTAATTCAGGTGTTGATTCATGTTTCTTAGATGAAGCATATCCACACTATTCGCTGAAAAAAGGCAGACAGCAGTGTTAACTCTAAGAAAATTATGAGTGCGAAAGTGCTTCGCAGTTGAAAAAAAAGTGCAAAAGTGCTTTTGCCGATTTTAGCAAGTTAGGTGCCCTAGTTTCTGTTTAAATTCTTTTTAAACAGGTAGATACTCGAAAAAGCGCTTCTTTGGTTAATATTGCAAATTAAAGAAGTGCCTTTTTATTAACCTGAGTTTCGTTTAAACCTTTGTTTAAAACAAGCGAATTCATCGGAAACAAAGGACACCTGGTAAGCACACCTGCCGCAAACAAAACTTCGTGCAATCAAACCAACCGTGTCAGTTGCGAACGGTACTCCTTTCCGTAAACAGCAATGCCTCACACATTTTTGTTACTCCTCCCATCCATCAGACAGCAATTAATACACACAGCAATCTATATTAGTTACCACCGGCCATAGCCAGAGAGGATGGTCATTTGTACAAAGCAGGTGCTAAATAACATCCCCGGTCAACGATATGGATTGACGTCATGTTTCTAGGTCCTGTTTTTTCTTTGAAAGATTACACAAATTCACTATGAAAGTCGGCATCCCGCTATTTTGAGCGATAGGTTGACCTACTTTACAATTCAATAATAGTCATAAAAGGACTGTTATACGCTAATTTAAGACCTTCTCTTCGAACTCCCTTCACAATTTTTTTTCATTAATTCAAATCACGGCGCATTAAAACGCAAGATCCAATTTATTAACATTAATTTCGAAGTAAGAGTTACGAGAAAGAATTCACCTACGAGTGCTACGAATGTCGCTGACAGACGGAAACGATAAAAATGAGAAATCTTTCCGTTCAATTCAAGCGCTTCAAAGCCGTTTTTACGTTTAGAAACGTCAAACCAGATAAAGTAAGACAGGTAAATAATGTATTCTACGGAAATTTCCAGAGATTTTAGGCGGGAATATTATTCTGACCATGTAGAATTGCTATCATTGTCGATTTATTTTATCAGTATATTTAATTCAAAGCAACACTGAGTATTCACGCAATGACGATTTTGCAAAGAGTTTTATTTATTATTTAATACAAAAATAACACAAAAACGATAGAAATTAAAATCATAAAAAGTCAGCTATTGTTAGCTTTATGAATATTTTCATCACATGGTCAGTAATGATAATATTGTTCGCTAAAAACTAGGGCCGTAATTTACAAACTGTTATCGAACCAGATGATGACATGAAAATAAAATTAAAATGTTTATGAATTCACTACTTAATATTGTCTTTAACATTTTCGCCCATGTGAACTCATAGTTCGGTTTCAAATATAAAAATGACTTCAATGTTCGCCGCTGCGTGAGAATTATTACTTGTGAAAAAAGTGCTTTAAAATATAGTGCAACAGAAATTAGGATGTCGACCGCTGAAACGGTCGCCGTGACAAAAAATAATACGCGATTGTGACAAAATTAGAAAGTAAAAACTCCGCCTTGTTACCGAGTTTTCGGTCTTCAGTGAGTTTCTATTAAATAAAACTGAATATTCAAATTATTCTATTGGAAAAAAAATCCGATTTTGCCCATCTCTAATCACGTGTAGGTAAATACTCATAGAATGACAATAAAAAGATTAACATTGATTACCACGAGTATAGTTTCACACATTTCATGCACATTCAATCGATGTTTTTGTGCATATAAACGATTATAACACCATTGATACTCGCAAGTTTTACTTTTCTCTTGAAATTAATTTTCACTTTTTTTATCGTTTTATTTCTAACATTTCTCACATTTGTTTCTCTCCGGAAATACCTCATTTATGAAAAAAATACGCTACGTGGTTACAACTGATTGCGAATTAAATAATGGTCGAAGATTAGCAAGTATATTCTTGAAATAGGCATACCAAATCTTCACTAAACTACTACAGAGGGAGGCGAGCTACACGAAACTCCGGCGGCCGACACATGTTACCACACATTATTGTGGAACATGCGCGGCTGCACCGGTAATGCGTCGTCTTCTAACACACCGCCGATAACGCGCCTCGATTTTGCCTCCCCGTTCCATGTCTCGCCCTTATTATTATCACAGGTGTTCTCTCTTTTGCACAACTTCATTCATTTTTGTTACAATTTAATATGAAAGAGGCAGACGCGGTGAAATCAAACTATTGCACCAAAAGTGCAATTCACGACGATGTAATGCGTTTGATAAACTAAAATGTACGGTCGTTCACATCGAAATTCCACAGTTACGTGTGTTTGGTGGATATTTTGCAAGGGTTATTTCAAACTTCGACCATTAATCCGTAGTCAGCGAGTACCCGCATTTAGAAATAAAACATTAAAAATCTCGAAAATTAATTTTAGAGAGAGCTATAACTCGCAGATGTCAGTAGCGTCATAATGGTTTATATGTACAAAAACACGCTCGCATGTAGCGCCGATCAAATGCATGAAATGTGAAGTATTACTTGGAATTTATTGTTAATGAAGTTGTTTTTTAATGCCATTCAATGATTATTTACATGCGCCCTAATTAGTGGCGGGCAAAATCGTATTTTTTAATCGAGTTATTCGAATATTTTTAACGAACACCGAATAATGAGTATTGTCATTTTATCCAACATTAATTGGGATGTCGGCCGCCTAAGCGATCGCCGTGACAATAAGTTTTTCTTCCGGATTTTACCAGAAGATTGAAAACTCCGTAACAATGCGGCGTTTTTATTTCATAATTTTGTCATAATTGCAGGCTGTAGTAAATTTTTCGTCACCGCGATCGTTTCGGCGGCCGACTTTCCAATTAATGTTGTTAAACTATATTAAAGCACTTTTTTATTCACTAGCAAATATTAATTCTCACGTAACGGTCGATATCGTAGTTTGGTTTTTATATTTCGGACAGAATTGTGAGTTCACATCGGCGAAGATGTTAAAGACAACTAACTATTTAAGGAGTGCATTCACAACATAAATTGATTTTATTCTGATTTTTATCTTCTGTGTAGGATTTGTATCACAGTTTGTAAATTACCGTCCCAATTTTAAGATAACAATATTATCACTACTGACCCCGGGATGCTATATTTGTAAAGCGGATAGTTGACATTTTTATGCTTTTAATTTTAGATCGTGTCCGTGTGAATTTCGTACTAAATAATATTCAAAAAACTCCGCAAATTGGTAATCTCTTGAATACTCAGTCAGTGTTGAGTATTCACGTAACTCAGCTTGGGTTAAAACACTGAAACACTGAATAAATAGGCAATAATGGCATTTCTACGTGGTCAAAATAATATTTCTGCTCAATATCTCAACAAGTTTCCATAAAATACATTATTTACCTGTCTTAGTCCTTAAATTAGCTTATAACCTGTCTCTCCTTTTGAGCGCCCATAACGACGGTAAAATTCGTTTCATGTCTGTTCCACGGAGAGAAAGGAAAATACGCCTTCCGGAATTGCAATCAACAATTAAACATTATTATCATTTTTATTATTCTTAAGTAAACAATGTTATTATTTCTGACACCGGAATGCGGATATTTATGAAGACGATGGTTAACCTTCTTATGATTTTACTATTCTATTGTGCCTGTTTATTTTCGTATTAAATAATAAATAAAAACCCTGCAAAGTCTTTGCGTGAATCCTGAATGTTATTTTGAATTCAAATGATGATTTAATAACTCGACAATAATGGCAATTTTACTGGTCAAATAATAATTATTCGCACAATAATTTGTTACCTTGTTTGACATTTTTACTTTTACGAAACGGCATTGGTGCGCTTTATGCATAACTGAGAATTAAAACAATACCCAAATACGACTCCTAAAGTTTGTCGTTTCTGTTTCTTAGCAAGAGCCGTGAGGTAATTTTCGCAAAATTCAAGGGATCGGTTTGGTGACGCGCAAGTTCCCTGTCCAAGCAAATCGGCCTAGGTACTCGATATATGAGTAGTGAAATGGCATTCTAATACGCAAGAGAATGACATCGAAAGGTTATTGTTACGCGGTGTTTTTTCGCTAGCGATCCAAGTTCGCCCCCCCCCCCCCAAAAATTATGGAAAGTGTCCGCCCCTGCCGAAGTGGTACATCAAATAAACTGTAATTGTACTGTTTCTTTTATGGAGGTATTATACAAGTGTATACGATTGATCTAACCAAAAATGTAGTAAGTCTGTGATAAAGGCATCAAAAAGAAACAATACCTCATTATAGTCGAGTGATGAATCATTACAAAGGGCACAAATTGTTGCCATTTCCACACAAGCATCACAATCTCCAGCGTTTACTGGTCTTCCATTTTTGGTGACTTCACCACGAGGTTCATAAGTTGATCCACTGATAGAATAATGTCGGAATTTGATGTCGTCATCTCCTGCTATGCTATCGACAACAAACATCTGGGAAGAAAATGTTCACAAACTTTAAAATAATAATTAGGTTTGCAATCCTTGACTACAATTTAAGATATACATTTAAACTATACCCCCAGTTAAGAAATGACATGAAAACCAGTCCAGAAGCGCAGCCAGGCCTTCTTAAAAAGGGTTAGGATGACAAATCTGATAATTCCTATCCCGCTCTTATATTTCATCATTATCTGGAATAAAGGCATGCTTGGCTGTCTGTAATTTTGACAAGGCTTTTTAATCCATTTGAAACATACAAGAATTAGAGAGCACATTGTGCACACAAGAAACTGCGCTCTTCATTGTCAGTGCATATGAAATTATTTTCTACTGTATCTGTGTGTAAATTTACGGTTTTAAAGTTGTACCTGGTACATTTTTTTGCATCATTTTGTAAATTTAGAAGAATTGAACTGGATAAAACGGGTTTTCAAGATTTCAAATAAGATCTGCAAAGCCAAAGATTCCAATGTGGTATCAACGACAAGAATCAAAAAGATAATCAACCATAGATAGCTGATTTGGATAATTTGGACCAGTAAACATACTTTGCTTCAGCCTACATCACTTCTAGTTATTTTAGTTATTATATTTTTTTGAACAGCTATGTGGCAAGAAACATAAAACCTATGGCTCTTTAAAGGTCATTTTTAAATAAATGAAATAAGAATAAAATGATGCAGAATGAAAGTCATTCATTTTATTTACAAAAGACAATTTAGTTTCTCATTACTTCTCATTAGGAGGTTGGATTCAGTGCAATATTATCAAGTCCATGCTTGATTACAAGAAAATGGAGGTGTATGAATTCTCACCCGACACGCTGACATCTGATTGGTGGTTAGGGTCCCTGTTTTATCAGAGCAGATAACAGATGTGCATCCTAGAGTTTCAACGGAGGGTAAACTTCGTACAATTGAGTTCTTCTTGGCCATCCTACGTGTACCAAGAGCAAGGCAGGTCGTAATCACTGCAGGCAGACCCTCGGGAATTGCTGCAACAGCCAGAGCAACTGCGATCTAAATGGAGAAAGCTTAATTTAAAAAATTAGCACCACATATGCGTCACTATCTAGTTATTTTAAGGATGTGATAATCCATTACTAAGTTCACGGAGATGACAGATATATGATGGTATAGGTAAATTTATGCCCACATTTATGAGAAAAACCAATCAAAATCATAGTAGGCCTACCCATATACCACTGAAATTTATTAATAATATGATTTAAAAGCAGAATCGAAGAGAAAAAATTATTATTGGATTATTATACAATTATCAAATGTATATATTTCAATAACAACACCCAATGAAATATGAATGCACCCACAAACATATATTATGGCAATTGCCTGGTTTTGGATGAATACATTTGAGACTTCTTAATCAAAACCTATTATCGACAATATAGAATAAATAGATATATAAATCCTATTTAATGTTTAGACTGAAATGCAAATTCAAGAAGAGGAGACCCGTAAAGAATGAGTTGCCTCATTAGGCTTGCACATAATTCACGAATTTACTGAATTTATTCCTAATTACGTTAGCAAATTTACTTACTGCGTAAAGTATTACTCGATGACCATATCTTGGTAAACCATTCTGCAATGTAGTTTACCAAATATCTGTTGTTATGTATTCTAGTAAAAGGCGTATAATTTTATGTCCTAAAGCTATAACAATTCCGCTCTTGTTTCTATGAGTATTAAAAAATATGCGACTCTCTTTATAATTTTATTTTTTGTAGAATTAAACCACCCATGCATTTTCTTCAAACAGTGTCTCAAAATTATTACTTGGAAGCATTTCGGAATGCAGGATTGTTACCATGTAATTAGTAAAATTTAATTACAAATGGGTTCATCGATGCAGTATTTCATGCTTTCATCAAAACGTCTTAAGCACATTGCAACACAGTTCCTAATATCTAATAATCAGATGGGGGGTACTGTACTAATACTGAACATGGCAGCGATTTAGGCGTCTCGCGCATATCAGTTTCGGACATAAAATAAGTTACGAAAAGATATTCACACTTTTTTGAACAATTTTGATATACCGGTAAATAGATTTTACGATGTGATGTTGCTAAAAACGATTGGCAATTTTCCTGTTGTGAACTGACTTTGATCAATCATGTGCAAGCCTATGCCCCGTTATCATTTTATGGTCTCTTGGGACCAATGACCTCTCCCACCTTGAAATAATAAATAGCTCCTTTAAGCCATGAACCTCCATGAATGGGGTCATTAAAATGGCCGATGTTGATAGCCCACACAGCAATGCATATAATGGTGATAATCTGTAAAACAAAAAGCAATTTGACTCCAAAAGTTTAATTTTTAAAAAACTATAGAATAGATCATCATAATATAGTAATCAAATATATCATTAAACACAAGAAAAGCACTTGATAATGACAAACTGATCCATATTCACTCATTGTTGATTTGATATTGGCAATTTTTGCAAGAGGAATGAATTACTTTAGAACATTACCTTTGAAAGCTGTTCACCAAATTCATCTAATTTTTGCTGCAGTGGTGTTTTTTCAGATTCAGTCTCTGCCATTTCATCTCGAATTTTTCCAATTTCTGTATTACTGCCAGTGCCTACAACAACACCAACTGCTTTTCCCGAAGCAATATTGGTGCCCTGAAGAGAAAAATGTACTTCTTATTTTAGCATAGGTGGTAATTGGTCGGATTGAAGGGAAATCAAACAAATCTGAATTCGTTTCTTAAAAACTGAAATTGGCGACAAACAATGGAGTCATATAGTCACCGAGAAAAGCATGTTCTTTTTGTCTTGATTGACAGCCCTTGGATCAGGCACTGCATCGGTATGTTTGATGATACTGACACTTTCACCTGATAAAAAACAGGCAGAATATTAGAAAATACTGAATGAAATATTTGAAATTTTGAAAAAAGTTTTCATTTCTTACTTTAAATTTGATTAAATATTTACATGTTATAGTCATTTAATCTATTTTGACTTTGCAATAAGGCAAAGAAATATCATGTCTGTATCACATTCAACCTGATCTTGTAAAACGCAAGAATGCAAATATCATCTTTTACGATTTAACCTATATTTTATATTGAAACACAAATTAGAATATAATTGAACCTGTAAGAATTGCTTGATCAACCCTGAGCGTTGTTGATTTAATTTGAATCAGTCTGATGTCCGCTGGAACCTTGTCGCCAACTTAAAAAAATAGTGATGATGGTAAACATAATGGTCTGACTAGATTTTGTGGTTTTAAATCAACATGATACCTTCATGTCATTTGTCTGAATTTTTGACTTGAACAAAACAAAATTTCTAGATATGTGCTACTTCGATTCATCATCATTACCAATCTAACGGTAGTTATTTTAGATTCTTTTAATACAAAATTTAAAAAAAAAATCTGAGAGCACAATATTGTTCGAAGAGTTTTATGGTAATAAGATTTGTAGAGTACCGATATCAAACATCAGAATAACTTCTATTCTGTGTATGACTGACTAGGAAAGTATGCAATATGGGTACTATTAAACCCTTGGACTGCTTTATTTATTTCATAATTTACACAGAAAGTTCATGCTGCAAAGTTCGGGACATTCATTCTATATTGATCCATCATAAAATGGAGTTGTCTGAAATTTTGACTTAAAACAATTTCTATATATGTGCTAGTTTGATTCATCATCATTACCAATGTCGATATTTTAGACTATTTGAATTCAAAATGCGAAGAAAAAAAAATTCACAACATTTGTCAAAGCGTATTATGGTAATATTCAACATCAAGTTGGAAGAGAAGCACTTGTCAAATGTTAACTCTGCCCATTTTTCAATTGAGATGAGTAGGAGCAACAACTCACAATATTGTTGGATTGCAAAGACCTTTCATAATGTAATATATTTTTCTACATGATTAATGATGCAGATAATTTATCTAAAAAATGTCAAAAATTTGCTAATTTGTTCAATTCAGTTTTTCAGATCAAAAGCAAAGTGAAAGTAAAAGTATATTTCGATCACATGTAAATAATCAAATTGGTCAGCAGATTGGTATAGCAGATGACAGGGACAGGAGGCCAAAACAGTACTTTAAACAAAATATGTATTATTGCAATACCATACATCTAATGTTTGAACAAATATTTCAATGAAAGTAAATGCCAAAGCTTTACAGCCAGATTTGCTAATGGTTGAAGCAACCCAATTGAAATACAGATCAAAATGGAAACCGCTATTATCTACGGTACTTCAAATTAGAGTTACCGGTATAACAATCGCTCACTTATTATATTAAATTCATATCTCACCAGCAACCTCAACAATGTCACCAGGTACAATATCTTTTGCAAGAATTCTCTGTACTGTAGCCTTGTCGCTTCGAAGAACTTTTCCTAGCTCAGGTTCATATTCTTTTAAAGCCTCGATGGCACTTTCAGCATTTCTTTCCTGAACAAATCGAAACAAGCATGAACATGCATAGACTAGAAAAAAAAATTGAGTCAAACTCAGTGGCGCAGCCAGGGTGGGTTTTCGGGGTCGCAGCCTTTTGCTAACATCGCAGTGATTTTCATCATCGTGATGTGTTATTCAGGCCGTAAACGCCTCGACGTTGGTGTTTATTCTCTAAATCACAACTTTGTGCCACGATAACGATGATAATTATTTTGTTTTTGTATTGGCACGGAATTGGGAATCCGGTGAGAGATATTATACGTTCATCAGCGGCGAGAAAGACAAATGTAGGATTAAATCCGCAACCAAGATTTTTTGATTGAAAAGCGGCAATATAAAATACCAGTACTGAAAATAAAACCATAAACAATATAAGTTTTATTGAGGCCCACGACAGTGAAAAAAACAAGGAAAAAGAAGCTAATTATTGCATATACCTATTAGAACAAATCAATAGTCTTCCGCCAGCCAAGTGATCATAGTCATACAGCGTAATGTTATATTCAAATTGAGAATCACAGAAGAAAAATTGAGAATCACAGAAGAAACAAACAAGTACCTGCCATATGCCAACAATAGCATTTGCAATGAGAATTAGTAATATTACGAAAGGTTCAACAAATGCTGTAACAGTGTCTTCTCCTTCTTCAAACAATGCAAGAACCTGCAATTTTTTGAAATACTCTTAGTATTGAACTTTGTTTATAAAATTAGATAACATAAACTTAATAGATTTTCTGTCGAATAAGGGTATGTCGTTATTTGTGGGATGGAGGTTGTAGAGTTGTATACCATTAACAGTAGTATTGAAACAACTCCAAATTACACACACATTATAGTGAGGCACCTGAGCAATATTTTCCAGAATTTCAAAAAAACTTTCCAGGAAAATTACATCCAAGGCATTTAAACCCATTTGCACCCATAAATATTTGCACCCAAGGACATTTGAACTTGCAAACTTTCGCACCCACAGATCTTTGACTCTGTGGCATTTGTTCCCCCGGGCATTTACACTGCCAGACTTTTGTGCCCATTGACATTTGCACCCACAGACAGCATCAGCGCCTATTTAGATTTGCACTCATGGTAATTTACATCCATGAATAGTTGTGTTTAGATAAAATTATAATCAATATTTGAAATAAGATTAAAATCAATGTGTCGGCCATGAATAAAGAATATACTTATAATTTGAAACCGATCTAGATTTCCAATATACATCTTTTATACAGTGCAATGTCATGGACGCAAATTGAAAATACCCAAAGTTGCAATATGTGAGAATAAATGTGGAATTAGACTGATTGCAAATGTACATGAGTGCAAAGTTACATGTGCAAATTTACTACATGTAGCAAATTCACATGGGTGCACATTTGCAAGTGAAAATGTACATGGGAGCAAACTCACTGTTGCAAATGTACTGGATACAAGGTTAAGTGCAGAAATGTACATGGGTGCAACTGATGCAAAAGTGCTGTCACTCGAATACTACTTCAAACTAGTTAGGTACTTTTAAACAAATAATTCCAAAATATGGGGTAATTATTATGTTTACAGGAATTGAGGCACACCAATAGATCAATAAATTTACTTTTGCTTAAACATGATGTTATTCATTACATTTTATATTCCACCACTGTGAAGCAGTAACTAGAATATAATCACTGTAATATAATAAACATGTATCCACTTACAAAAGATATGACCGCAGCCAAAAGTAAAATTCTAACTAAAAGATCTTCAAACTGTTCCACAACAAGTTGCCACAGAGATTTGCCTGTAAAAAATTAAAAATTATAATTGTGTGATTGAGATTAGAAAAATAGTGTGTGACCAAATAGAAGGACAAAATGTCGAAACTTCATCTATCAAGAACTTCGGCTATATTATGATATCTCTTTACATATACCTAGCTGTTTAACAAATTTTGTGGACTAAAAATGGTTCAAGTAACTTTATAATAAAAAAATTATACTTAACAGTGAAATTTGTGGGCTTGCTTGGGGCAATCCTACATGAGAAAATTCATTAAATTTGCTAGTTATCGATTATATGTCATATATTTATTATAATTCCTGATGAGCTGAAAGCGGAAGATATTATATGTATAACAAAATATTTTTTACCTTCCTCGGCAGGCAATTCTGAAAATAAAAAGGTAAAATAACATTAATTATCAACCATTGGAAAAGAAGCAGGTGATATTCAGAAACTAATTCATAGAAACCTATGGAAAATGTGTTCTTTTTTAGATGCAGATATATAACTGAATAAACTAGTGTATAAAACCCTTAATGACTATTTCACAGTGCAGCTCATTAAACTGATGATCTAGATTTATACTGTTATGTGGTAACATTTGACTCGGCTAGTAGATATGCATTAGCGTCAATGGATTCCAACTATTTCTCATAAATGATGATGGCCAAATTCCCCATTATTAAGTCTTGCGCCGAGAAGAGAACATATTTCATGCGTGGGTGTCATTATCCCATTAGAACAAACTTGATCGCATTGAAAGTATCTAAAAAAATAACTGAATCCAAGGCCCAAGTTGGAGCATTAGAAGACAATAGATTCAATCTCAAATTTGATGACAACATTTACTGAATCAGAAAAGTATGCCATGGTGACAGAGGTATTCGCCACTGTCACGTCAGCGAAATCCTACATCGATTTCATGAAAGTGTGTTCCCACTTTGCGATGTATTTCTAATCAATAGCCACGGAAACCCTAACCCTAACGAAAATTTAGACCTCATTTGCTTGGTGCCAATTAGGTAAATTATTTTTTATTCATAAATTTTATAATGAAACACTTTTTATGACACCGTATTTTTGAGCAGCAGGATTTCGCTAGCGTGACAGAGGTAGGTATTCAATAGCCTACTTATTAATTGAAATAATAATGCTCAAAAAACTTGCCATTCGGTCCATATTTTTTCCGATTTCTTTTGACTTGTTCAGCTGTCAAACCAAGACTTTCAGACACTCCAAAATATTTTACAACTTCCTCTTTAGGTTTCATATAAGCATCTTCCATTTTAGTTAGAAATTCCGATTTTGATCAGAGTAAAAAATATCGAGTATGATAATGACAGAGCTATCTAATAACTGAAAAATGTAATTTTTCATTATGTACATTTGACTTGAAATATATAAGCAATATTTGCTGAAACAGAAGTTATACATTCAATGTGCAACATGAATGAAAATTCAGAATATGAATTTCATCACCCCATCACAATATAGGAAAAATATTAATTCCTGATATTTAAATTGTTGCAAAAAACAACTAAAAGGGGAATTGCAGGGAATATAGTAGCAAAGGAATTGGGAGTAATCCAGGATACATTTTCTAAATTACATCCTATAAAAATTTGTCTTTTCTACAGTGAAATCATGATTTATTGGAAATGGATGAATTCAGCATATATCATGATCTTGATATAAAATAGTTTGATTTAGAATAGGCTATACAAAATTATCAGTACTTGCAAGAGAGAATTTGAGAATACTCAGCTATTCGAAAATGGAGATCAAACTAAAACTTGAAGCTATGTGAAATGAGAGCTCAAAATTTCTTTAAATACTGGTTGAATCAACAATTGAAAGTCTAGCAATATGATCACATCCACAATTTGAATAACGAGAAAACGGTGAAACTATGTATCTTGTATTTGATTCGCGATTAACAATTTAGTTCTTAAACATTTTCCCCTGAAATACTGAAAATCAACTTTCATTATTACCATAGGTCTGTCATTCACTGACTCTAATTATAGACCATTTTAATAAGGTGCGCTACCATTGAAATTGCCCAATCAGTTGTAATATACAAGTCAAAACTTGATTGATATCAAGCAGACATGCTCAGATGTGGGTTGCTTTGCTGCCTTCAGTGCCTTGAGCTTCCAATCTTTATGTATCCATGAAAAAAAATATCACCATTGCAAAGATGCATCAAATACAATTATAAGGAGTGTGATTAAATATTATTGAACAATTTGAGAGAATAACAATAAGTTCAAAAACAGATGAATCCAACTGATTGAAAGGTTAGGAACAGCAGTTTCAAAATAGTATTTCTCTGCATGTGTACAATGCTATTTGACAATTCAAGTAAATTACACTAGAATAAATGGGTAATTATAAATTAACTATGTTCCATATGTCCGCTATATCCCCAGTGGGGCTGGGCAAAATATTCGAATAGCGAATCGAATATTAAATTATTCGAATGGCATTTTACTATTCGAATATCCGGTACCACGTGACCTGCACCACTTTGCTTGGACACGGAACTCGCGCCTCTCGAAATCGATCGTGAATCGCGCGAAGATTCACCTACAGCGCTCGCTAACAGAAAAAAGCTACAAATTTGAGAAATCGTTGTCTTTGCGTTGCGGTGTGATTTGCTTTTTTTGTGTCCAACGTATCGTTTCAGTTCCCTATTTTGCAAAAACACGTACCGCACCGTTACGTGAATTAGTTACCAGCCGTTTCATGTGGTGACCGTACATTTGAACCCATGTACATTTGAACCCATGCGTATATCCACGTGTTCAATCTATATGCGGGTGCTAAAACCCATGGGTTAGGGTTAGTATGGGTTTAACTACCCGTGAAACAAAAAAAATTCCATAGGTGCAATAGCATACAGGTGCAATTGTCATGGGTTCAAATGTACGTGGGTTCAAATGTAATGGAACCGTTTCATGTAGACCCGAACATAAAAGTGGTTATCAAAAACTAAAAGTTGAAATTACGTTTTCGAGAAACTACCAGTATACATGGTATGACGCTTATAGGCTATAACCAGAAAAAGAAATGACAAGCCAAACTTCATTTAATGTATTTTCTATGAGCTGCGAGCTCTTTAGTGATCCCTTCCATCTATGACCAAGTAATGTTTTCAAAAATGTGAACATTTTACTCGGCCATGCATGGCGGGTTAAGTGATAAAATCGTGAACGAGAGTAGATTGTAAAATCAATCGTGAATTTCGATGTTACAACGCACACTGTCTCGTTTGCGAATTGTTGCGTTCGAACATTTTTGCACTAATTATTAGGACGTGACATTATCGAAATCGTTAAGTGAAATGGTGAATTTGCAAATTCCGTAGTAAAATTGTGAATTACTCGGAAACGATTTTAGCTATAATTGTTGCCGGGGATATTGTTTCGTTAAAATTAAAACGTTGAAACCCGGAAAAATTAATTATAATAAGTGTCTGACCCACTTTTCAGCACAAAAGCACTCAAGCGCATATTGTTTTTAGCATAAGGTCGCATATGTAAAACAAAATATCATTCAAGAAGTGCTGTTTATTAACGTCATCTTGTCTTATGACCACGCAGAAATGCCTTTATTTTCGAATTATTTAATCATATTTTAAATTAACATTCAGGATTGATGCAATCGCTTTGCGAGGTTTATCTTTCTAATACGACAATAACGCAGACACCATAGAAAAGCATAAGAAAGTTAATTATCGTCATAATAAATATCTGCATCTCGGTATGGAAAATATTACCCCTCGCTTAAAATTCGGACGGTAAATTTACAAAAGCTGATAAATAAGTAAGACCAAAACCAACGCGAAAAATTTTGAAATCAATCCTTAATACCTATAACAAATGTTGCCGACGTGAACATACGGGTATAATAATAATAAAAAATAAAACTCCGACGTCCGCCAACCCGTAAGAATAAATCCTTACAAAAAAGAGAACGGGTGGGAATATAGATTACCAACTTCAGGATATCGCCGTCAAAACGATCGTGGTGACAAAAACAATCAGCGATTAGGGCGATTTTACCAGTCAAAAACGCTTTGTTGCCGATTTTACAATGTTTTACTTTATTTTCAAAGAGAGTATCGGCGGACGAAAAAATATTCGTTATTTGACTATTCGATATTCGTTGAAAATATTCGAATTATTCGATTCGAAAAAAATATTCGATTTTGCCTACTAAAACAATAAATATATCTGTACTTAAATAACTATGTTCCTACTACAATGGCGATGTCCACTGTGTCCCTACTACAATGGCTATGTCTGTATGTCCCCACCAAAATAACTATTTTCCTACTAAACTGGCGATGCCCGCTATACCCCTTTTAAAATGGATATGTCTGCTATGCATTTACCTCAAACTGTCAAATATCACTACTAAGGTGACTATGTTTCTACTAAAAGGGCTATGCCCCTATTGAAAATGACGATGTCCCTACTAAAATCGAAACGTCCCCACTGAAGCAGAAATCGATGTGTTATACTAGAGACATTGCCATTTCAGTGAGGTGGAGGACAGTTATTTTATTGGCAGATTGGGGACATAGCCTTTTTAGTAGGGAAATAGTGATTTTACAGTTTTAGGAAGAACATATTTGTAGTCCTTTTAGTAGGGACATAGCCATTTTATGAATATCACAATATATCAGCACATTCCTAAACTCTCCAATGCTGTAATCCTAACAAAATCTGAAAATCGCATTGCTTCACATTACATTTGATTGAATGTAATTAGCTGAATCCTTTTTAAATAACATGATTTGTAAATACCGCTATAACTTTTAGATCTGTAAATATGGCTACAACTTGTACATTTGTAAATATCAGAATATCACTACAACTCCCATATTAACCCCCACCTTCATCTTACAGCTGCACAGATTTAAAGTTCATAACTTAATGATAAACTTGTTCATAGCCTTGTATAAAACACTGAAATAGCAAGATTTAACATAGGCTAAATCCGTGAATATCGAAAATGCTCGCTTCATCTATTGATGCTGTCTAACACAAATGAACCAACCCTGTGCTGCAGCTGCATGAAATCAGTCCAAAAATATCAACGCCAGATCAATGTATATTTAAATACAAACTCCCTGAAGACAGAAAACAGTTCAATGACCAATTCAGCAACACAGACGTAGAACCACACTCTAATGAGCCTAGGTTAATATTAGTCAGGTTACACTGCTAATGAATTCCCTAGGTATTGTCCAGATACCGTATATAATTACCGAAGGGTCTGTTCAATGTCACACGGATGAATGATGACAGACAAAACCTGACATATTTTATGTCCGTAAGGTACGATGTGTTTTATTTCTCAAATCGAATTGATCAGAACAACGCATTCATCATAGAACAGGATAATATTTGACAAAACAAATAACGGTGGCTTAGCGCAGATTTTTTTATATTAATTGCTTGCAACACTCAACTAGAAGTGCAGCACATGTGGGCGCATTGGTGAAACCAGGTGAAGCTAGTCTATGACACCTCGCGACAGTTTCTGAATGACTATTTCTAATGTCCGCTGCTGAATGACTCGACTGCCGATTTTATGGATGTTTCCCCGAGCATCGATTTCCTTGTTTATTGGACACGAAGCGGAGATATGGGTCGTTTTGTTGGACACGAAATGGACCCAGCGCCGGATTAACCATTAAACAATATAAACAAGTGCTTAGGGCACCAAGCAAACAGGAGCACCACAGAAATTTTAGAGCAGAATTTTATATAGTTTATCGGTGTTTATTAAAATATTACGAGTTCACCAAATGACTCAAACTTCAAAATGTTTGCTTATTTTTGGTCTTCAAATATCATATTACCTTTCTTTATTAAAAAATAAACACTGAAACTAATTTATTGGACACGAAATGGGCCTATGAGTCATTTTCTTAAATTGTTGTTGTTTTTTCTTTCTACTATTCTCCTTGTTGCTGCATTTTCGTTTTAAAAAATTTCTTTTTTTCCAACAATTGGACCAATGAACTATTCACACTATGTGGCGGTTCCACCGTCGCATTTCAACGATCTAGTGGTCAGCGAAGTCGGGAGTTTTTTGATTCGTTGCTTATTAAATTTAAAGTAAGTAAACTCGCGATATTTCGATCACTTTTGGGTTTTCTCCGACTTGCGGCCCGCGAGACCTCCTCAAAAGTTTTTGCGGTCCTTCAACCTAGCAACCTTGAACCACCCTGAGGTAGACTACTATAGGTACCGGTAAAATTTCAAACTACAGTTGTGACTTGTATCCTTTGGTATTTCGATTCACGTTGAGATTGGAGGCGTGGATAACAGGTAAAAAA